ATCAATCTAATCGGATCAGACAATCAGCTGTTCTAATATAAATATTGTGATTTTGTTTGTTAATAAATTAATTGTATATTTTAACCCTACTAACAGGACATCAATTCCATTAATAAACCTCTAACCTTAATGATTCTGGGAAGAATGAAAAGTTTGACGAAAAGTGTGGTCACAACTATTGGATAGAAAACAGTGGCTTGACGAAGGTATGCTATTCATTGAGGCGAATACGCTTATTTCCTTTCATTTTAACCCAGAAAAAATCATCCCGTAACACTTCATGCTTCATGCGATCGGAAAATGCGTGCAGTTCAACCTGAACAGAAGTTATCGGAAACGAAAAATTGTAATAATGTCTGACAGCCAAGCAGCTATCAAAGCATTGAGATCCCCAGTCATCAATTCTAAGACAGTATGGGAATGTCTACAGAAACTAAATGAGCTGGGAAAACAAAAAACAAAGTAACTCTCCTCTGGGTGCCCGGACACATAGGTGTCAAGGGAACGAATGCGCAGACAGGTTCGCAAGAACGAGAGCGTCTACTTTCTTCACTAGGCCTGAACCATATTGAGCCGTCGGAAATGCGCACCTCCAAGAAATTCTCAAAAAAAGAGGAGAACTGGCTAAGGAACAAACAATGGCTAGAACTACGACAGGCCAAAGATCTATTGGGCAACTGCCAACTTGAACCAAAAAGATCAAAACTGCTGGTCAACCTTAGCAAGAAAAGTATCAAGACTCTATTAGAGTGACTCTAACCGGGTTTCTCTCGGGACATTGCAGACTTAAGAAACACCTATAGAAGTTGGGGCTAGAAGAAGGTGACACCTGCAGATTCTGTGAAAATGGAGAAGAGACACCTCACCATCTTCTACTGAACTGCGATGCTGTTAGTCGCTCAAGAATAAAGAACCTGGGAAGTGCCTTTATACAGTTGGAATACATTCCAACCCTGGAACCGCTACACATCTTGAAATTCTTAAGGGACTTAGGACTAGAGGGGTTGCTTTGAGCGGGAAACCCGAACTTAGCAGCAGAAGGAGGAGTACAGTCAGCAGCTAAAGTAATGTCCCAAATTAAAAATTCACGGGCCTCTAAAACAGAATCTTTTGACTACAATAGTTTCTTTTCTATTACAGCTGATGACCAACCATATAAACCTAATGTTAAACAAAAAATTACATAATTTTTTTATAAACTGATAAATTTTTAATTTGGGACATTACTTTAGTTGCTCACTGTACAATAGTGAATAGATCAACCTTGGTCGCGGTGCAACTGACACCTCCAACACACACATACACACCATGCTTGGAATTATTACTTCGTTACTCAAAAACAAAACCAAAATGTGAACCAATCGAATAGTTGTTAGAAATGAAAATGCCAAAATGAATACTCCCCGTAAAACTAATGCGCAAGATACGGTTGAATGTAAGTGGATATAGAAAATGAATGACCAATAGTGAACTCTCTAATTTACCACGTAAGTAAGTAATCCTTCAGATTTAGAAAGAAAGGTTTTTTCATTAAGTTGCTATTATTCTTGAATAATTTTGGTTGTCCATTGGATCACTAGGAATATAGCCGTTTGAATAAAAATTAAAACAAGCACCTGAAGCACCAAAGTAAATTGTACCATTACACAAACTAAAAAGCTACAAAAATGTGACACTACAAAATTTCCCCCTCACTTTTAGATGACTAACCTCCAGGTTAATCGCTTGACCAATGAAAACAAGAAACAAAAAGCAAAAAAACAATGAAAAATACCAAAAGCATCGCTTCCGATCCTGCTAGCGGATTCTATTTTACGAGAGTGAGTCGAAATTTGTATCCATTTGTCAAAATAGCGATTCTTCTCGTACTCTTCGATACGAATTACACGGTAAGTCCGGAGCAGTCGTATTCGAAATCGAATGTCATAACAGACAATCCGACTCGACTCGCAAAATAGAATCCGGCTGCTGGATTTTCTGAATCCAGAGTGTTAGATCAAATGACATGGTGGAGTTGTGCCTATCCAGATTTTATAAGTCACTTCTTCGTAGTGTTTTGCAATGTTGCTCTCCCAATCTAGGCTAGTCAAAATAGGTGGTTGGGGTAGAAAAAGTTAGTAACAAAGTGATCTCTGCGGAAATGAGTAGTTAATAGAGTCCTAATTAATCCCTAAAAAATCGCACTTTGTCGCATTGGTGGAACTAGGGAAAAAATGGCCGCCATCTTGATTTTTTTCTAATTTATTGAATATTTCCTAAAGTATGGATCTTATCAAAAAAACTAAAGAGAACTTTTTTGTCGAGAATCAAAAGTTACCTATATTGAAAGAAATTTCAAGGCCATTAAGTGGAAAACAAAAAAGTTATTCACATTTATTTCATTGGGCAACATGGATTTTTTCAAAACATCTGGAAAAAAACTCAAATAAGTAGGTATTTTTTTTTATGCAGAATTAAAAGCTACATTTAATGGAGAAAAAATTCAAGAAATTAAAAAATCTAAATATTTTTGTTGAGAGGGAGCAAAAACACATATGACAAGAAAAACATTTTGGCAGGAAACTCCCCAGACTCAGACAGCATACAAAGTCTAAGAGGCGTCTTTTTTAGGTCTGCATTCTGAATTACATCTGAACGTCTGAAGACCAAAAAAAAAAATGAAAACTTCTATATTATCAAGATGTCCTAAATTCACATTTTAGGGACAACTGAGCCACACTATTTCGGACAACCAGGCCTAAAAGTGAATAATGGTTCATGTATTCAAAAGAGATTCAAAGACGTTTAGAAATTTCGTTGAAGACGTCTTTAGAATGCCTTAGTTCTAAAGGCGTTTTTATAGGCAGTCGTCTGAAAGGCGTTGGGTTTTGTAACATTCGACGTCTTCAAGACGCCTTAAAGATGTAAGCAAGACATCTTGAATGTCATTTGGTGGACATGGTAAGAACGTCTTCATCAAGATGTCTACGAAAATTTACCACAGAATTCGTTTTTCATTCAATTTTAGAAGTTACGTGAAACCATTAAGAATGCTACAGAACACTTTAGAACTTTGATAATAAGCCTTTTCGAAAGTTCAAAAGACTTAAAATTGAATTCATAACTTTCAAAAGCATTCTGTAGCGCTTCAAAACATTTTTGAATATTTAGAACCTATTAGAATGGAGCATTTTGGAACAATTTAGAAACTTCAGAGATATTTTAGAACAATTACGATTCAATTTAGAACTGGAAACCTTTTAGAATGCTTTTAAACCAATTCAACTTCACTTTGGAACTTCAATAGGGCTCTACAATACTCAAAAATCTGACAGAACATTTTGAAATTTAACATGGATCCTTCAAAGGAGCGGACTTCCCAATTTAGAAATTATTGAAAAACTTCTAGAATGCTCCAGAACTCTTCCAGCCAAGTTAAAACACTTTAGACAAACCTCAGAATTATTTCAGAGAGCCTAACGCCTGGAATAGATAAAAATTGAAAGTTATAAAATGAATAATAAATAATAGGCTCTTGATTTTCCCTTACTTCTTTATTCTAAATTCTTTATTTTCTTTTGGCTGTTGAAGTTTTTTTTTTTTCCAAGTTCTTGAATTCTCATTTTTCCTGTATTTTGGAATTTCAGGCTCTTAATTTGTTTTTTAATTTTCAGTCCTGTCTCTCCAAATGGTTTTCTTCAAAAATGAATTTTTCGTATGTTTTCGTTTGAAGAAATTAAGAATTTAAGACCCTAGCGTTTGGATTAGACCTCGGATTAGACGAAAATTGAAAGTTTTAAAATAAGTAATAATAATAAAATATTAGTGCTGAAGACGTTTTTAGGGCGACGTCTGAAGGACGTTGGGTTTTGTAACATACGTCGTATTTAAGATGTCTTTAAAACGCTTTCAAGCAGACGTCCAAAATACGTCTTGAATGTCGTTTGTGAACATCTTAGGGACGTCTTTAAGATGTCTGTGTACTCTCAGGATAGACACTAAGTAATTCAAATAAATTTAATTCTATACTTTAAGGTTCATAAAAAAATCACTAAACCTTCCCAGTAGTGGGAGAGGAAGACTGGAAACTTGAGACCATGCTCTAAGCTTTTGACACCAAACTTTTTGATGTATCTTTAATCCTCTTCTGAAAGGCATTGTTAGCTTTCATTAGAAAAATGCATACATTTCGCGATTTTACTTAAAGTTCAAAAAACTTTTACATTTTTAAATAAATTAAATTCCAATAACTTTTTCGTTTTCAAGCCAATAGTAATGAAATTTCTTTTATTATAAGTAACTTTTTATTCTCTACAAAAAAGTTCTCTTGAGTTTTTTTGATTTAATGCATACTTTACGAAATATTCAGTAAATTCGAAAAAAATCAAGATGGTGGCCATTTTTTTCCAAGTTCCACCAATTCGACAAAGTGCGATTTTTGAGGGATTAATTAGGACCATATTGACTACTCATTTTCGCAGAGATCACTTTGTTACTAATTTTTTCTACTCCACCTGCATAAACCTGCCTAGATTGACTACACTAATCTTGACTTGGCTAATTGTAATTTTTTTATGGAATTTTGATATCTCCAGGGTTTTTCTCGTCCAAATTTGCATATTATCCACTCGATGTCAAATAAAATAGAATAGATTATATTTAACGTATATTCACGCAAAAACTATTTGGTGTGGGCGTTAACGATTTTTCGGTAGTTGAATATTTTCCAATCATATACGATCTGATTGCGTTTGAGTGGTAGTTTAAATTTTTATTGGTCCTAAAATGTATCTGAAAATACTGCACATTTTATAGATTCGATCTAAAATCGGAATTCAAATAAAAATTGATAATTTATTGTTTTAACAATAAAACTTTGTTTATTCCAAAAAGAAAAACATCACAATTTTATAAATTATTTCTGATAATAATAATTACTGCTGTATTTTTCTGGTGTTGGGTATTTATTCGTGTTTTAAGTATTTTTTTTATAATTAATTGTAATTCTGTTGTTGTTCCAGCAACAGCAACAACAGGGTCTTCAGCAGTTGCTTGTAAGTAATTTATTAGTTAGTTGGTTTGCATGTTTTTTACTATTACTTTAGTTTTTCACCGAAAATTTTGCAATAATATCTTCATATAGGTTAAGGATTTCGACATAAAATTAAAAATAAATTTATGTTGACACAGACAATTTTACGCTTAAAATCAAACAACCGATCCGTTGGGGCTCTCATAACTCTGACTTAATGGCCAATAAATCGAATCGATATTCGAATTAATGATATTTGGACTAATAATAACCCACACACTGCTTTTTGACGGTCTCCGTTTTTACGAAAATTTTATAGCATCCCGTGTTGCTGCAATAGGAACGATTAAACAATAAAATTGAAATAATATTATTGAGGTCCCTATAAACATTTTATTTTGAGCTTCTGGCAGATGCCTAGCGTTTCCAATATACAACCCAATAAAAAAAAATATATACTTCACTTAATTTAGCTTTTTAATCAGCATAAATCTTTGAGAGAAAATGGAACTTGTGACAGCTGAATCAATACATATGTATAGAAACAATGTGAAATAATGGTCACAGTTTACTTAACTTTAAATTGGAATCGAATTACATATATGCTATATCTACATACTCTCCATCACAAATTATTAACGACCTGATATACCGCAAATTATTCATCACATTGAGTCCCCATTCGCTGATAAATTCAATTTTATATAATATGTTTGTATGACATAATATCAATCATTCCCGTCTCTATACAGAAGCAATTTAATAATAAACCGTTATCTCCAATAACCATAATGCATATAAACTAACAAATTTTTGTGCACCAGTCACTTATTTGCCTGTACCATGCTGCTTAAATTTATAATCTCTAATCATACTCATTGACAATCTATCGATATTATCAGTTATCCTAGTGGTAAATTAGATTGTTTGCAGTTTTTTGTTTGGGTTTCCACTTTACATTCTTTTACCTTTACCTACAATGTTTCCACCTGGCGAAGGTTTTTTTCAGGCTCCTTATTTTTTCCAGAGTTTTGCTCATACCGACTGTAATGGAATTTGATGTATCTGGCTACTAGGTCCCGAGGCCAGATGCTCAAGCCTAAAAAAAATTCAAAGTTACCCTTATTTAGCAAAGCTGCTTTTTTTAAATATAATGCAAAACTACTGTACTAGGAATTTTTTTATAAAAGTGAACTAAATCAAGTGGTTCCTTCTCTCACTTATCCCGATCTTGAGAACAAGTGGTGTCTGGCGATAAATCAAAAATTTACATGTACTTTGAAACATTCATGAGATTCTGATGCGGAATCAATGGTCCGCCATAAGGTACATTTTATCCAGTTAGGCATGTATGCCTATTTCATAATAAGACCCTTTGTTTGTAAGAGTTATTTACTTCATTTTTAATATTATCTACGTAAATAGGTAAATTGGAGTCTTTAGTTTACTGATTTTCTTGTTCAGGCCAGGATGGGAACTTATATTCAAGTCTACTAAATTTCTTGCTTCTTGATAACAACCTCATTGTACCTAACAATATCAGAAGAATTTTTGAATTTAATTACTGGGGGTACTTTTCTCAAAACCAAACACAACAAACGCGAAAAAAAAAAAATTGTTACAAAAATGTTGTTGCAAAAATTAGGTGGCTTTAATTTTCATAAAACTAAATTTCAGTCAACTAAACCAATTATTTTCGTTTATGTTCACAGCAGCAAATACACGCACAACAGCTGCCCCACGGAGGTGGTCCAGGAGGTTTGCCGATGGGACCTCATCCGGTGCTGCCCGGCATGGGACCGGCAGCGGCTGCCGGTTTGCTCGGCTTCGGAGCGGGAATGCCTCCCGGTGCTGCGCCGCATCCCGCCAGCGTAGCGGGATCGGCGCATCCTCTACTGAAACCCGCCGATCTACATCCGCGAGTCGCCGAGGATCTGAAACGACCCAGCAGTACGAATACTTCTGATGAAAGACTGGTAAGATTTTGTTTTTATGTTGGTGGATATTGTTAACATATTCTGATTAGTTAAAATTTGGTATAGTTTTAGGTACGGTCTTAAGGTTTTAGGAAACTATCGCAAGCAACTTGTGCGCGGCCTCTATTGGCCTGTTGGCTATAAATCTAATATGGCCGCCATCTGTATTGGTATTTTTAAGAGATGCTCTTCTATACCGGGTGACCACGAGATAACTGACCAAGCTCTAGTTCAGGCATGAATATCAATATCGATTTCAAGTTTTGAGGATGTATATTATTGATATCGATGCAGAATTTCGCTATAAAAACAATCGACTATCGCTTCTGGTTTGACCGCAAGTGCCATCAACTTCTTTATTTCAACTAGATCACCCCCTATATTATTACATTTTTGGATTCTATGAGAAATTCTAAGCATATTTTATGTATAATATCCTATACCTAACTTTAAGAGTTTTCAAGAAAATCGCGATTGAAAATGTCAAAAAATAATTTTTATTTTAGTTTTGACAGCGAACAATGGATAGTAGGTTGGAACTTTTACGATATTTTTGACTCATTTTAGAAGCACTAAAGGGTCCCACCACAAAAATATCAGTTCCGGTTCAATCGAAGGTTTTCGGTCCGTCTACTTTTGAGGTTATGTTACTGCAATAATTTCAATGGTATCCCATACTTAGAACTGAAAATTCGTATTCTAGGAACAATTTTGAATATTTTTTGTATCCGCTTTCCTATACCTAAAGTCTACTGTTTTTGAGATATTCTACACTTGATGTAAGGATGTCTTTGGAACAACGAATACCAAAAACAGTATTAACAGCATTAATTTTAATCCTTTTTATAAGTTTATTTATAGATCACACAGAATGCAGTTTAAAAGATAAGTCTCATTTGTTGTGTTCCTTGAATCACGATTTGCACTGTTACCCAAAGGTCGCAAATAGTCCAAAAAGTTAGGGACGCAAACGTGAACAATACAAACGTGAACAATACTGTAAAATATCTCAAAAACAGTAGACTTTAGGTATAGGAAAGCGTATACAAAAAAGATTCAAAATTGTTCCTAGAATACGAATTTTCAGTTCTAAGTATGGAATACCATTGAAATTATTGCAGTAACATAACCTCAAAAGTAGACCGACGGAAAACCTTCGATTGAACCGGAACTGATATTTTTGTGGTGGGACCCTTTAGTGCTTCTAAAATGAGTTAAAAATATCCTAAAAGCTTCAACCTTCTTTCCATTGTTTGCTGTCAAAACTAAAATAAAAATTATTTTTTGACATTTTCAATCGCGATTTTCTCGAAAACTGTTTAAGTTAGGTATAGGATATTATACATAAAATATGCTTAGAATTTCTCATAGAATCCAAAAATGTAATAATATAGGGGGTGATCTAGTGGAAATAAAGAAGTTGATGGCACTTGCGGTCCAACCAAAAGCGATAGTCGATTGTTTTTATAGCGAAATTCTGCATCGATATCAATAATATACATCCTCAAAACTTGAAATCGATATTGATATTCATGCCTGAACTAGAGCTTGGTCAGTAATCTCGTGGTCACCCGGTATAGCAAAAAATGTTGAGTAGTACCACTTTTATTCGGTTAATTATCATGCTCCAACTGTCCACATATACTTTGTTCGAAGTTGCCGTCTATTTTCACAGTTTTTGTTGCTCTTAAGGTGACGGACTTTGGACCCTTGGGCTTGGAGAGTACAAACCCTTCACTGCCAAATTTCAGGATGTTGAGCTGGTTGTCGCCCTGTGTCCACTGTTATAATGATATTTGTCCCATTAAAATTTCCTCCAATAGTCAAACTTTTCGCAGTCTTTCCTAGTATTTTGATGGTTATGATTTAAGGGGCTCCACTTGCACAAGCCAACACCCGCTTTTCTGTGTTGGCTAATTGTAGTTTTCCTGGTTCTCCTTTGAAGCCTGAGAGTCACCAGAGGAAGAGCGAGATCCTAGCCATACTCTAGAGTCACGTTTCAAATGTCCCTTTCTACTGCAGCGGTTACATTCAATTTCCAGTTTCCTTGATTTCTTCTGAAACCAATCTTTCGCATTTGTTCCAGAATTTCTTCCATTGTGTCTTTAATTTAACTCATTGGTTCTTTTTCCTCTTGTATTGTCACAGCTCTGATCTTTAGCTTAGATAACTTATGCCGCTTCAATTTGAAGGGCTTTGATCAACTTAATGTTTTTTTTATGATCAGCGTTCTCTGTACATCCATGTCTCGCACTCCATTAATAAAGTTTCGGCTTGCTCACTCCGAGTGACTTCATTCCCACTCCAGCCGTTCAGGTATTGCTTTTTGACGTATTAGGGGTGATTCTATTAGCGTTCCACGATATGGAGTGGAGTAAATGAAGCTCACTCCAAAAGTTCTACCTCCGAAAGAGAATTTTTCAGAGTAAGCATGCGCAGAGGTGAAATGTGGAAACTGTCAAGCTTGTGTTGTCACGTTGTGGTTGTTGTTAAAAAAATTAAAAATCGTTTATCTGTGGATGCGGGAATTGGTAAAATCATCGACTAAAATAATTGATATGATTTTAAAATTTATTAAACATGAATAACATGATGGGAAAATTTCCTTGACAAAGTTAAACAGACGCAAGAGCATCATATTATTCATTATTGTGGAGGGATTGAAGTTAATTTATAGTACACGAAAGACCAAAGACAAAAGTGGAAAAAAAAAAATTGGAAACCCGGAACGTTGTAAAGTCAAAGCCGCTTTCCAGTATGCACATTGGCGCGCTCTGGCGCGCTCTAGAGCACCTCGGGGGCGCCACGCACTAGATTTGTACCGTTCCAGTATCATGGCGTGAGACACCTGTCTTAGTGTCAAATATGGTTCTGGTTACTTATAGGTCCCAACTTCTATGGAATTTTTTCGCAGTAATTTCATTTAGATATCACTTGAAAAATAGTTCCCATTCGAAAAAAGTACGGAATATTTAGCTTCCTACAATATAATAAGGTTTTAGCGCGTTTTAGTTACGGAAAAAGCATATACAATATATACCTTCCTAGTCCTAATGCTCATTATTTTTTTATCAATTCCTCTGCAGGTTTTTATATTCTACTTACTTTACTAAGGAATAGCACCAGACTACCTAAGACTATACCAAATTTCAAATACTTGGCACAAAGTGCACGATTCTTATAAATTTTCATTAATTCCAGCTCCGATACCTTGACTGCATATCATGTTACTTCAAAAGTATCTTCATCATTTTCAAATAATAATTTTGAATCAACATATTTTTATTCAATTTATTTAAGACGTACGCCAGAAGTTGAACGTCTGCATTTTATTTTTCTAATTTCTGAAGTTTTTGTTGAATGATGAACTTTGGTCTAGTGGCCAATTATGATATATGGTGTTAAATCTATTTTTTGATGACTATGCTTCAGCCTACACGAGGCACTGAGTTCTCCACTAGTTCAGTGAATAACCTAAACAGTGGCTTCCCTGTAACGGTTCCTCCTATCCATTTCTTAGTATGCTTGGTACATTATTGAATTGAACAAAGTCTTCTTGGAAGCCTCATGTTGACATCTTTTTCCAAACTCGAACTCAAAACGCATTATTGTAATGTAATAATATTGAAGTTGAACTTCGTTGACCAGTCAGAAACAACTGAACCAATGACTTATTATCACAGATAGACAGAGTATTCCATTCATAAAATACTATTTGTTGTGTTGACAACATGTTTATAGGCCAGGGGGGATTTGGGGTGCGGGCGGTCCATGGTGGGGATAAGTCCGGCCTCAACAGCTGTTCCCTGCCATGGGCCAGGCTCAATTGGTCCCGCCCCAAAACCAAAACGATGATATTCGAAAAGTATTCCAGACTAACACGAATATATCTTATGTATCGGTCTTTTTTTAACATATACTAATCATCATCGCATAGACTAGAGACAACAAAATACTTTGGGCTAGAACGGAACGTATTACTACGACAAACAGGAGGCCGAGTTTAGTCTAGTGCTGTGTTGCCAAGTGTAATTGAAAGGCAGGACTTTATACCTGCGTTAGAAAGAGAAAATAAATATCCCTACGACTAAATGTGGCATTTTAGTAGTGGGGGAATTTGGTCAGGATAGAAAGAATCGGACATGTTGTCAACATATATTTTTGTTTATAAATCCGTCTATCTGTGATAATAGGTCATTGAACTGAACTCATTGAAGTTACTTGCCGACATCATCTTTCACGTTCTTTTCCACAAGTTTTTCTAGAAACTTCGAGCTGGAAAGACATAATGACTGATGTGTCTTAGGAAATTTGCTCCTGTTCTAGTTTTCCATCAGATTTTGATATGAAGGTCGCGCACAGACCGAATTTCCAACGTAGACCAACGCCAACGGCATGTGCTGTCGTTGGCCAACAATGTAGCTATAGCTTTTACATGAGGGGGGTTAGAGCAATGGCGGCTCGTGGTCTATGCTGGAAGGTGTTTCAATTTTAGACCGGACAATGTATAGGTAACCTGGCGTAGCATAACTCAGGATATCGCCGAAGGCGAAAAACTTTTTCGGGTGCCACGCTCAAAAACGTTTATTTTTCTTTAAAAAAAAAAAAAAATGATTCAGTTCAATGGAGGAGGTTCGCACTCCCAAAACCTCCCCCTTATATACGTCCTTGTCGTTGGCGTTGGAATTGGAAAACATTAGAAAGGATTTGAGAACATCGGCCACATCGCCGTACACACCACAGCCAACGCGTTCCAATATAGTTCGCATGAGCTGTTGGCTAGCGTTGGAAATTCGGTCTGTACGCGGCTTGATATGCCTTCAAGCCCAATACTCCAAGACCCAAGTCCACGGGGTATCCTTTGGTATAAAGGACCTTCTCGTCGATCGTCTTAATGAGATGCTTTTTTGGATGAGTGAAAGAATCATATAACTCTCAGTCAACCAAAATGACTATATTTAGTGCATACACCACAACTTTAGATTCCGTCTATGGCAAGAAAAAATTACTTCATATAGTTGTTTTTTTAAGATACTTCAATGCCCAAGTCCACAGAGTAAGCCATAAGCAGTAGTTACTTGAATCGAATTCGTCTACTGACAAAATGCTCATCGCACAATCTCATTATGACACATACTCTATCTCTCAACAAAAGAACTGAAAACAACGTGGCAACATCTTGGAGCAAAACACTGGCATCTCATCGACTACTCCATGGTTTCATGAGAACAATAAAAAAAATCAGAACGTTATAGATCAGAAAAGGAATGTCCACAATATCTGGCAAAACGAGCCAAATAAACACCAATTAAAGAGCGCCATTTCAGGTCTTGGACGTCCATGAGTTTCCATTAAATTCTTGGTTTACAATGCCATTGTCATACCAACATTTCTCCACGGATGTGAAACCTGGATCACCTACTGGCAATACCTGAGGTGCTTGGAAAACTACCACCAGCGCTGCTTAAGAATACTTGAAATAAATTGCCAGGATAGTCGAAGTAATAACAGTATCCTTGAGAAAATCAATTTCGATGGAATTGAGGCAATGCTCATCCAACATCAGCTTTGCTGACCTGGTTATATCGTTCGCATGCCAGATTCACATCTTTCCGAATTATGTACACAACTAAACCAGGGAGGACAGTTTGAATGATACAATACGATTGAAGACCAACATGAAAGCATGGCAAGGTAGTATCCATCAAGGCTCGCAAACGAAAAAAAGACCTATAATACTCGTTAGCCAGTGAATAATATGGTGATGAAGGAATTATCAAGACTATTCATAAATGAGTAGTATAATATGAGGGCTTCTTCTTGAGTAGTCTCTAAGTCCTTTCTTCAAGTCTTTCTCTTAGATCTCGTCTGCTCTCTGATGAGCGATTCTATATTTCTTCCAGTAGTCAGTTCCTTGACTTTCAACTTCTTCTCTGATCTGACGCCTTGATTTCACTAGGAAAACATTCCGTATGGTATTTTTCTGGTATATTTCTTTGTTGTAAGTGGGCAGTTAACCTGAATAGCTGACATGATTGCTTCACAACTGACAACTGTCTCTAGGTCTTAAGTATCTCTTATCGCATTCCTGATGATCGGCTTTGAAATCTTTAAATGCTTCAAAGTCTGTCTACCTTACTTTAACTTGCGTTCTCAGTCATCAGCATACATGTTAAAATAACCTAAATATAAATTTAGGCTAGTGTTACCAATCTGTTCCTTTCTTTTGGTTCGTGTTGACTCTTGGACTTCTTAGCGCCACTGTGGTGTCTGCGACTCACTTTTTTTTTATTGTACGGATTTTCTGAAGGCATGTTTTTTTCTATCATGAGTCACTTCTGTTGTCTTTTGCTTTTCAGAGCCTTTAAAACCTTACTCTCCCTTATATATAATATGGTGGTTGGTTATAATTGAGAGTTAAATCTTGACATGAAGCCATTGATTATCGGCTAAATTACTAAAGCAGAGAGCTTCAACTCCGCAGAAAACTCATCTTTTCCCAAAACAGTCAAGCAAGTTGAAGACTTTATTTATGTTTACGAGTTTTACTGAGGCATACCAAGGTAGAGCGTTTTCACACTAACTGACACGACTCCTGATTTTTTTTTAAATTACCTACTAACCGCGGACGTCGCTATCGTGTCTCAAAGTGTGTAAGCTTATAATTGTGCAAAAAATCATTGTATGACGATTATGAACAAATTTATTCATATCGCTATGCTCTAATTTCACCCTAGGAATCGATTCTGGGTCAAACGTAGTCTTATTTTTTTAGATCAATTTTCTTATGATAACATCACGCTAAACACACAATTTTTTCTTTCAGAATTCTCTGTCGCCGGGCGATAGGGATAAGTACCGCTCAAGATCATCTCCCGAAGTCGACCAGGGAGTCAAACGACGAAAGGAAGATAAATTAGGTCACGTAAGTAATGAGCGTCATTTATTTTGCGCTCCTTTTTCTTACACTTCCTTTTTAACCCTGATTCAGAGACGGAATAAATTACAAGGCGAGAAAACATCGAAATAAAAGCGAAAAATAGCACGGGAATTTCCTTTTTTTTTTGTAATACCTCTGGGATGTAATACAATAATTGGTGATATTGACTTCGGTACTGGAAACTTCACCAGGCTATTTTCCACATTATTAGATATTGTCCCTTTTAATTCTTGAAACACTGTTGGTAGGTAACTCTTTAATTGCCTCGGAAATTGATTGATTGATTTCATGCAAAGATATATATATATATAGTACAACGGTCGAAAATCAAACCAAATATTTTCTATATATATATATGTAGATAGTTATCAAATTTGAACTACACTAATAAGGTGAATGCAGATGAGCTCACATTTTTTTATTCCTAAAATTTTCTTAGATAATGCAATTGAATAAAATTGTGGATTTATGTTAAACACATCACAATAATTCGAAAAATCCATAATTATTATTTCTGACCCTAAAGTTGGCAAAATGCTCTATTATTTTGTTGTACTGAAATAGAATATGGGAGTCCTTATTAATTCTAAAAGATTACAAATTATATAAATGAAATTCACCCTGTTTTTGCATGGAGAAGAGGAGAGAGTATCATCCCCCATTTAGGTACAATGTCCTTTCACCCCATAAATCTGCTGGGAAATCGACAACGACGATTCTGGCAACGTTTTAATAGGCGGTTTTAGCACCGTCGCAAAGATTCTTGATATTATAAGAACAGTGAGGGTAATATTAGAATCTGTAATCTAGATCAAGATTGTATTGCATGCACATACATAATGCGATGTATTGTACAGATACTTCATATACTTACCTTGGATGTGAAACCTAATTACCTATATACTTCCATCCTAGAAGCAGTTTCTTCGGTTCAACCAGGAATCTCAGTTGTCTTTCAAATATTCCATAGAGTTGTAGTTTCACTGCTTGGTACTGTTGAAGTAGATAATCCTTCTATTGTGCATGATGTTTGAAGAAATTAATCAATATCGACTCTGATTCCCATATTATTGCTGTAAACCCTTAGATTATGAACAACCACTTCGTTTTTTCGTTTGGATTAAATATTGATGTTGGTTAGCGTAAGCTTGACGAAAACTCTCAAATCCTCTTTTCCCCCTAACCCCCTTCGATTCCCTCTTTATCCCTGCCCGCACACCACGTTTACCCTTGTTTGCTGTCTCACAAAAGTTATTCCCCATTACGGGTGTTATTGTAAGCCCACGCGGGGCCATATTTCCGATTTCAGAGTTGTTTGACTCAGGGGCGCGTCAGATGAGGGATGACAGGCCAGAATTCCGTGGTTTAAACGTTTCGTTTGGTGTGATGAAAACCTTGTTATTTTTTATTGAACCTTGCAGTCTAGAACAGGACACTCTCATCGTGGATTTTTATAAATAGTTACCCAAGTTTAGCTTTCCAGTTGTAGGAGCTCTTTTTCAAAGATAATTTCTAGCTAGTTGTTTTTTTCAACATAATCGTTTCATATACAGGGTGGAAAATTAAAAAGGATCCACCTGGATTTTCTCGAAAATTATCAGGAAATTAAAAAAACGCCGAAACACGGCGATTTTGTTTGCAAGGGGGACAATTTTTGGCTATTTCAAAATTTTCCTAGATTGCACCCCCTTACCGGGGTGAGTTGCACCCTCAAAAGTTGAATAGGAAAACTGGGTCGAGTGGTACGTTGTTTGAGAGGTATTTGAGATGACTTTACAGATCTGTAATTTATTTCGAAATCTGACTTCTAGTTTTCAAGATATTCGCCTCAGAAGTTGCCATGGGGCGAAAAGAGAACGTGTTTTTCGTGAAAAAATGAAAAGTGGGTCATGTTTGAAAGGTTGTTCGAAAGGTTCAAACTAACAAAGAAACAAAGGTTCAAAATAAACAAAATTGACTTGTTTCAGGAATTCCAATTTTTTCTTGTAGAAATGTACGAAAAACACGTTCTCTTTTCGCCCCATGGCAACTTCCGAGGCGAATATCTTGAAAACTAGTAGTCAGATTTCAAAATAAATTACAGATCTGTAAAGTCATCTCAAATACCTCTCAAACAAGGTACCACTCGACCCAGTTTCCCTATTCAAGTTTTGAGGGTGCAACTTACCCCGGTAAGGGGGTGCAATCTAGGAAAATTTTGAAATAGCCAAAAAGTGTCCCCCTTACAAACAAAATCGACGTGTTTGGGCGTTTTTTTAATTTCCTGATAATTTTCGAGAAAATCCAGGTGGATCCTTTTTAATTTTCCACCCTGTATTTTATTGTGAAACTCGTAAATGCAGATTTTATTTTTTATTCTATTATTCAATACTCTGGTTGTTTTTATCAGCACAAAAACAAATATAAATCCCATTAAATGCTAGGAAAAAGTAGGTTTTTTTTGTTTTGTTTTCTATTTCGATCCCTCAACCACCGCTGTGCTATATAGGGACCATAGTTGTTAAATTTTATTTTCCACGAATAATCCGGCGCTCATTCGTTTATTTTTACAGCTTTGAACTTTTTCCCTCTTTGGATCCAGAGGCTCTTTCAAATTCCAATAATATGTTGCTAGAACCTTTTATGAGTTTTAAAATATTCAGGCAATAGTGGGCAGTGTAGCTCGGAGGCCGGGCTCTCTCTAATATGTTTATTGAGTTTTTAATTAAGCAGTTGCGTTATTTGTACAATAGAATTGTATGCTGGAACGAAATATAAATTTATTTTTGATTTAAAATTTTATTTTGCAGGAGAGTGATGGGGAGAAGAGCGATCAGGATTTAGTTGTTGATGTTGCAAATGAGGTAAGTGGGAGAACCAAGTTTTGGTGTGTAAGAAGCCCAGAATAATAATTTGAGATGCAACTGAAGTGTTTACTGAAAAAGTCCAATATGTGAGTAGGAGATATCGGGAAGAAAACTGCATTTATTATGCGTGCATCCTTTAAACTATCCTTTATACTCATACTGACAGTATGAGAAGAATTTTATCCTCAAAATCTCACATATAAATGAGGTTTATGATCATAAACAAGATCTTTTCTTTGTTGTATCTCTCACTCATAACTCATTGAGACATTAATTTTGCTATAGTAAAAAAATATATTATGTGTTTTGATCACTCTGTATGCATTGCTGACATTTTCGGTCAATTTTAGGAAGCGGCATCGCCACATACAAACGGAGATCATGTGGCATTAGGAAACTCAAGCGATATTCGCGAAAATGGCGGCTCGATCAGTGACAAGATAAAAACGGAAAGGCCACCAAGTAGAAGCGGGTCGTCATCTTCTAGGAGCACGCCATCGCTCAAAAGTAAAGATGTAAGGCTGAGAGTGTGTTTCACTTTAAAATTAAATCCATATTTTTGATCTTCAAATTAGTTATTTATGATCTGAGAATAAAGACGTGTACACATGATAGTCTTATGAGACGACAAGTGACGAGTGAGATGCACATTTTAACCTCTTCTTTATACGTCTCTATTTTCCGTTATAATCATGACCTTACTAAAACGATCGTTTCTATTCAAGGAAAAACCCCTGACGCCCGGTTCGAAACCCCGTTCAACGACGCCTAACCTGGGAGCAGGAGCTGGTCCTCCGGGTGGTTCCAAAGCAGCCCCAGGCGGACCTCTAGGACCCTACCCCCCATATCCTGGTTTAGGCGCGCCGCGAACGCCTGAACACCAAATACCCCCATACGCACAGGCGCCACCTTACGGGCGACCTCCACCGCAAGGAATTCCTGGAGCTTATGACGGTCATCCCCATACTAGGGCTCCGCCTTTGGCTACGAACGGGTTGGGGAATGTACCTGGAGGCAAACCGTAAGATTTTCTTCAATCATATAGACATAGATATTATAAATAACTTTTGCTCACACAATTCTATATTCAATTCAAGAAATAAACGCTTTTTCGAAGCAAAGTTCATGGTATAAAAATTATAGGTTCGAACAGACCCACGTCATTTCAAATTATCAAAAATCGTTTTCTGCCTCCTGATAATATTACCTATCTTGGCGTCGTCTGATAGTAAACTTGCAGGAAATGTTTTATTTTAGTCACTCGTAAAACAACATAATATATATTTTACGAGTTTCATGTGGAATTGGCCCCTAGTTAACTGGTAACTTCCTGTTTTCCAATAATTTAACTTTTCAAATAAGTAAATTAAACATTTTCAGTTGCTGAAAGGATCCCAATTTTTAATTTTAGTTTTGAAGAATATCTGTTTGTTATTTTTTGTAGTTTGTTTTAGTATTATATGCATTTTTCATAATGAAATTGAGATTGTATTAGGTAATGACAAATATTTGTTTTTAGGGCATACTCATTTCACATGAACGGTGAAGGGCAGCTACAACCGGTGCCATTTCCGACGGACGCGTTAATCGGTCCAGGAATTCCGCGACATGCGCGCCAAATAAACACTTTGAATCATGGAGAAGTGGTCTGCGCAGTTACGATATCAAATCCAACCAAATATGTATATACAGGAGGAAAAGGTTGTGTCAAGGTGTGGGATATTAGCCAGCCCGGCAGCAAGAGTCCGGTCAGTCAGTTAGATTGTCTGGTACGTAAATTTGTTTGGAACTATTTAATTACTACATAGGTTCAAGGTACTTTGACTTAAGTCTGAACTTAGCTCCTAAATAATACCGCTAAGACGAGAAAAGTAATGGCCGGTACTTGAGCTCTTGGTTAATAAATTTAATACCTCGTTAAATTAGTCAGGGTTTTAAATAGGTTTATGGGCAGAAAGCTCAAGTACGAGCCATACAATCTACAGAAAACTAACGAAATTTATTATTTCAATACTATGGGCTGTTCCTCATAATTAGTGCGGCTCCTACAACCTAAACAAAAGAAAATACAAAAAAAAGTTTAATACAAAAGTTGTAGGGTTTTATGTCTATTATGTTTTGCACATGTCAAAATGGGCTAATGACAGGTGCCAACTGTCATAATGACAGCACTTCCATTTTTTTAAATAGAACGCCCTGCATATTTTTGGCTAGAATGATAGATTTTTTTCTTCTGATTCCAAATATACCATATATGTTGATATTTGGTTCAGCTGTTTTTGCGCTATTTCATTTTAAAATTGCATTGAGCAAGCCTCATCTTTGATATTAGAAACCGGGAACAGACCTAATTTAGGGTAATGTAAATGCATATTTAACTTGAATAGTGTAAAAACAGCTGAACCAAATATCAACATATTTGGTATATTTGAAACCAGAAGAAAAAAGTCTATCTCTTAGCTAACGATATACAGGGTGTTTCATTTTAAAAAATGCAAGTGCTGTCATTATGACAAATGGAACCTCTCATTTGCCCATTTTGACATGTACGAAAGATAATAGAGATAAAACCCTACAACTTTTGTATTTAACTTTTTTTTGTATTTTCTTTTGTTTAAGTTGTAGGAGCCGCACTAATTATAAGGAACAGACCCTGTACATAATAATACCTAAGCCTAAGCACTAAACATCTAGGCGAGCTAATTGAGACAAAAACAATTTATGAGTGCAGAAGAAGTCAAGATCAGCAAATCTGTTAGCAAGAGCAGCTAAGCGAGGAATGAAAGAGTGTGCTGCTTAATTAGTGCGATGAAATGACACATTGAAAATATAGCGTCTTCGGGGCATTCTAGTAAGAGCATAAAGGCCTATTTCTGCAAGCAAATCAGGGCAATCTGACAGGGAATTGAGAATCTTAAAAAGATTGTCAAGATCCCTGTCTTCTTATCGACAATGGTAAAAGGTTCAGCCTACGACACAGATAATCATAATGGAAATCGTCGTTATTAAAGAATTTGAAATTTATGTAATGCGGAAACTTACGCTGTACACATTCAAGTCTGTGTATGTTATTTGCATATAAGGGGTTCCAAACTGAAGAGGCATACTCCAATCCTGCTCGAACAAGACTACAATAGAGAATGTTAAGAGAGATTATGGTGAGAAACTCTTTCGAGTTTCTGTAAATGAAACCCAATATCATAAGTGGCTTGCTTATTATATTCGGTGCATGCTCTATGTAATGGAAGAGCCGGGTCAAGAGTAACACCGAAATCACTGATGGTCTCAACAGATGATAGAATCTCCCCATTGATTAGGTAAAGAAAATTTTATCAGCTTGCACTTGAACACATTGACCTCCATTCCATTGTTGCGACACCATCGTGTAAATCTATTGAGATCATCCTGCAGCAACTGGCAATCAGATCATCCGCAAATAGAAGAAATTTAGAGGACAAAAAACAATTGGAAATATCATTTATAAATGATTGAAAAGAAGCGGACTTACATGGGATCCCTGAGGAACTCCTGATGATACAGAATTATTCGCCTTCACCAATTGGGTATGATCAAGTAAGTAGGTCCTGATCCACCCCAGTAGTGGACCCGATATACCCAGTGTTCTAAGCTTGTTCAACAAAAGCGGGTGGGGAATCCTAATCGAAGGCTTTGGAGAAATCCGTGTAAACAGAATGAGCCTCCGAGCTGCTTCCCAAAGCTTCAAATACCGAGTAAGAATATTATATATACAGGGTGTATATTTTAAGTGATACCACTATTGCTATATCCGAAACGTTAAGAGCTACAAGGTCGGTTAAATTAGAAAAAAGTTGCCTTTTTTGATGTTCATCCAAGACTTGTTTACAGTGTTGCCAAATTCCTTTTAGTTTATGAAATACAGGGTTTTTTATGATAAACGCCTAAAATTATTCGAGACACAATTTAAATTTGAAAGTTTTATAATTTTTTTCGCTCTACAACATGGCATTTTCAAATTTTAAATCTGACGTTTCGTCATCGACCTACCATCATCAACTTTATTTTTTCAAATACGGACCTGGATTTTTTATATCATTTTTGGAAAAGGAATGAAAGGCGCTTCCCAAAAATGACATAAAAAACCCAGGTCCATATTTAAAAAAATGAAGTTGAGGATGGTAGCTCAATCACGAAACGTCGGATTTAAAATTTGAAGATGCCATGTTGTAGGGCGGAAAAAATTATAACAGTTTTAAATTTAAATTGTGTCTCGAAAATCAATAGTTTCCGAAATAATTGATGAAATATTTTTGGGCGTTTTTTAGAAATCACCCTGTATTTCATAAACTGAAAGGAATTTGGCAACACTGTAAACGAGTCTTAAATGTGCATAAAAAAAGGAAACTTTTTTCTAATCTAACCCACCCTGTAGCTCTTACCGTTTCGTATATAGCAATAGTGGTATCACTTAAAATATACACCCTGTATAGAAAGTCTAGTTCTGTGCTTTTCCGAGGGCAAAATCCAAATTGCTCGCCAATTATCACCGCCGAAGTTAAGGACCCAGAAACAAGTTTTTCAAACATTTTTTGAATCACATTCAAAATGCTGATAGGTCTGTAAATGCGGACATCGAATTTATCACCAGTCTTGTGGATAGGAACCACAAAACTACTCTTCCAAAATTCAGGAAAGTGGCCTTGTTTCAATAATTCATGAAAAATAATCTGCAGATGTCTAGAAAGAACAAATGAGCAATTTTTTAGGAAAAGCGGATGGATGTTGTCCGGTCCGGGCCCCTTGTCTGTCTTTAAACCCTTCAATTCAGTATAAATATCGGAGATTAAAATGTGATTGTTGCTAATATTGATAATGTTGTTTGACAGTATAGATATAAGTAAGGAAGTCAATTTCATGTTTTTTTCTTTTTATTTTAGCAACGGGATAATTACATCCGTTCAGTCAAGTTGCTACCCGACGGCCGAACTCTTATTGTTGGAGGAGAGGCATCGAATCTCTCCATATGGGACTTGGCTAGTCCAACACCGAGAATCAAAGCCGAATTGACCTCTTCAGCGCCTGCGTGCTACGCGCTTGCGATTAGTCCTGATTCAAAAGTTTGTTTTAGTTGTTGTTCGGATGGTAATATTGCCGTTTGGGATTTACACAACCAAACGCTGGTCAGACAATTTCAGGTAAGAATGCATAGAGATTAGAGAATAGAAAAATTACACTTGTGAAAAGAGTTACGGAATCTGTGAGAAATTATGTGAAGGTTGCTGTTACTTCGCTAATACCGTACACTTAACTAATGTATGGATAGTTCCTTTGTTGGATAAATATTATCATTATTTAAGAGTTGTATCTACAACCATTTGGTCTTTCGTTTGAAATATCTTCATAAACAGTAGATTTTAAATTAAAAAATTAGGGGCAATGGTTTAGTACAATAATTTTTTAATACATCTGAACTAGATAGATATTAATTACCAGTTAGGTGATGCACTAATTTCAATTAAGTCATTAATATTAGACACGTATTTTCTTCCAAATTAAAATATTTTAATTTTTTCTTTAGGGTCACACTGACGGGGCCTCCTGCATAGACATAAGCTCAGACGGTACAAAATTGTGGACCGGCGGTTTGGATAACACTGTCCGTAGCTGGGACTTGCGGGAAGGAAAACAGTTGCAGCAGCACGACTTTAGTTCTCAAATTTTCTCTTTAGGGTATTGTCCGACTGGCGAATGGCTTGCTGTTGGCATGGAAAACTCACATGTCGAGGTAAGAAAAATTGAAATCCTGTTTTTATCTACAACTATTTATTGATAAAATTATCACATACTTTTCAAACTCTGGGTGATATATGATATCTTTCATTATTCATGTTGGGACAAAACAAATCTGTTCTGATCTGTCATCATGTCATTACGAGTTGCTTTCGGGTGCGGCTCCTAGTGAAGTACTTCAGTTCGGGCAGCCCTCACACACTGCACCCCAAGTCAGCATTTCATTATTTTAAGTTAATGCTAACACATTAAAGAATAATTGTAATATCGTCAAGGTTTACTTTTTTTAAATTATTCTTTCATAACACATTAATTTTTTTTAGGTTCTTCATGCAACTAAACCAGATAAATATCAACTGCATCTGCATGAGAGCTGTGTTTTAAGTTTACGATTTGCCACTTGTGGTAAATGGTTCGTTTCTACTGGTAAAGATAATCTATTGAATGCTTGGAGGACGCCGTATGGTGCCAGTATTTTCCAGGTGAGGGTGAGATAGAATCTGTTTACTATTGTGTAACCGCTCTGTTAAGTGAAAATTGAATGGATCATAAGTACTGTGATTATAAGAAATTCTATAGGGTGAGCTACTGTAACCTCTATAAAATTGGAATCTTTTGGATGTCAAAGTCAAAGTCAAAAATAGCTTTATTCGCATCTAACATAAATGTTTTGTACAAAGCCTATAAGGTAATAAAATGTAATTGTAAATAAGTACCTAAAACTATATATAAATACATAAAAAAAAAACATAAAAAATAAAATTATGTCATCAGATATATAGGAAATTAAAAAAATAGAAAAATGAATAAAACAGGTAATTCAAACATGAATTAAATCCCTAAGATAAAGTCTTATGGACACAACAAAACGAAGAAAAATAACCTATTATATGTACATTTACAGGAATACAGGAAAATAAAATGTCACAAGGAACTCGCAGACAATAGTAGTCAAATACAATAAAACTTAACCTAAGAGATCGGTAAAAAATTCGTCCAAGGTGTAATATGCCTTTGTTAGCAATAGCCTCTTAACTGACCTTCTAAATCTCCTCGCACATCGTTGCCGTCTCAAACACAAAGGAAGATGATTGAACATTTTTTTGCCATTGTAAATAATGGACTTTTTCACCTGATCGGACTTAGGAATCGGCAAAGGCAACATGAAAGTCTGACGAGTACTGTAATTCTGAGGCAAGAACAGCTCTTCTCTAAACTTTTCGCGCACAAGGCATACCGTTTCCATAATGAAAATGCAGTACAATGTTAGAACCGAGTGGCGCACAAACAAAGGACGACAAGTGTCTCTCCTTCTGGCAGAGCACATGGACCGAAGCGCTCTCTTTTGTAGCACAAATACAGTATGGAACAGGCTCGCCGAACAGCATCCCCAGAATGAGATCCCATATCGAAGGTGTGATTCAATCAAGGAAAAATATGTTTGACGAGACACTGAAAGTCCCAGGTTGCAAGAAATTACTCTGAGGGCGTAGCAGCCAGAAGAAATTTTCCCACATAAGTGCGTCACATGGTTTTCGAATTTAAGGGAGCTATCTATGTGCAGTCCCAAAAACCTTACAGTGCTTGAACGGGACATTCTTCCGTCATTCAGAGCGACGTCACCCAGGTCGCATTTATAGTTCAAGATGTTGGTCTTGGAAACATTGAGAGAAAGATTATTAGAATTGCACCATTCCGCGACACACCCAAGATCTCTCTCAATCACTTGCTGCAACCTATTTGGGTCCCTGTCGTGCCAAAGAATGGTGGTGTCATCGGCAAAGATGGTGAATTTTCCGCTGATAGGCAAGCGAGGCAAGTCATTGATGTAAATCAAAAAAAGCAGGGGACCCAAAACTGAGCCCTGAGGGACACCCGTGGAGATGGCTTGTTCTGTTGAACTAGAGTTGTTGAAAATAACCCTCTGCACCCGACCCGATAAATAGGAATGAAACCATTTCAAGGCAATACCTCGAAAATCATAAATCTCAAGCTTGGTCAAGAGGGTAGGATGATCAACACAGTCGAAAGCCTCCGACAAATCTCAGAACACTGAGGCTGCCACATCCCCTGTGTTGAGTTCAAGGTACAGCCGTCGAAGAAAACCAAAGATGGCATCATCTGTGTTCTTGGATTCTAAGAACCCAAACTGATGGGGGTCCAGAAGATCATGTTTATTGAGGAATGAAAGTATTCTCCTCTTAACCAGCTTTTCCACAATCTTTGCCAAGGTAGGAAGCAATGATATTGGGCGAAAACTAGAGGCCTCATTCGAATCTCCCCCCTTTAAAATCGGCACTATAATAGCCTTCTTAAGACATGGAGAAAATGTGCCTGATATGAAAGAGTTATTCACTGCGTGGGCCAACGAAGCCAAAACCCGATCAGGAAGGGCCTGAATAACATTTAGACGCATCCTGTCCCAACCTGAGGATTTTTTGTTACCCATCCCACCAAATATGGACCTTAGTTCTTCAACATCAGTTGGCGAGAAGAAAAAAGTTTCAGGCACAGAAACGTGACGCAGAAAACGCTCTGGTGGTGTAGTTTTAGGGATGTGCCTTGAAAGCTCCGAGGCTACGCTGCAATAATAGATGTTCAATTGGTCAGCCCTCAGGTCACTAGATATAGGTGCATGGTTGTGCTTACCACGCAGAGAGTTAACAATTTTCCATTTTTCTTTTGATTTATCAGATGCATCATTGATTCGATTTGAGTAGTAAAGAATTTTTGCTTGTTTGAGTGTGGATCTGTAAATCCTTCTATATTTATTGTAGTAATTCACAAAATCAATACTGTTCAATGTAAACTTTCTAATATAATGTAAGCATCTCATATTTTTTGCTGAATTTTTTATACCCAGGGTATACCAGGTTTTTTTATTTTTATATTTTTTTATCGGGACAGTGGGAAACGCTCTATTAAAAACATTGCTTAGAATTGAATGAAAGCCCTCCAGTGGATCACCATTACCTAGGCTATCATTCCAGTTACAATTGTTGCACATTGTCCTAAATCTAGCGTAATTACTGCGAGTAAACAATCTATTGTACCTACATTTATTCATCTCAGGAGGTTTAGTTTTTAAGCTCAAGGTGGCAACCACAGCCTCATGATCTGAGAGACCTGCACTTACCACTCTGCAGTCTGTTACCGAATTGAAGTTGCTACAAAAATAATCCAGACCAGAAGAAGATATGGAAGTGATTCTAGTGGCGCCATCAACATGCATTAAAATATTAAATGAGTCGAACAAACTCGTTAAATGTCTCAAATTACAGCCTGAAGTATCTAAAAAATCTTCATTCAAATCACCCGACACCACTATTTTGGCATTCACTGAAATGTTGGACAAAATTGTTTCCAACTTTCTCAAAAACATTTGGAAATTTGCTATTGGGGTTCTATATAGGCCAACAATATACATATTCAACTCTTTACAATACATCATAGAAAGCTCAAATCATCTTTGTTGTTTCTTGATTTAGTAAAACTTCTTAAAGATGAGATATAATAAAAACATGAATCACATTAATCAGCTGTTCAATGTGAAAGTTGTCACCGCAAAATGTTGGTATTTACTTAACTTGTGAGCCACGATTGATGTGAAAAAAATAGATTGAGGGTTTTGGGTCGTTTTTGCACTGGAGATACATTTATCATAGGAGTTGTTAACGGAGATGATCAAAATTCCAGCAAAAAATTTCGAACCTGAATAAGTGATAAGCTTAATCCACAAGTTATCAATCTGTAAGCCGATAACGAGTTTTTAAAAAAACAATGTATTCACTAATTTACAATACAGTACTTTCGCTTCACGCATTACAAAGGTTAAAAATAAGAAATATAATTATAATTCACCTGACCAACTATTCTAGGCGAGCAGCGATATTTATAATATAGAAAAGCGAATTAAGCAGATTGTGTGTATGGTCAGCAAGTGCGGACCTGGATTTTTTATTTGCGACTTTGTCATCTTTGGGCATCCTACAACACACTATGCGGTAAAGTTAACTTTACAGCATAGTGTGCGGTAAAGTTAACTTTACATCATAGTATGCAGTAAAGTGGACTACAAAGTGTGCGGTAAGGAGCACTTTACCGCATAGTGTGCGGTAAAGTAGAATTTGATATTTATAATCAAAAATCCTTTTTTTTCCAGAAAATGGATTTTTGATAATTTCTAAATCTAATTTAATTTATTTAATTAATCTGATTCAATAATTAATTTTATCAATGCCCTTTTTTGGAGATGTAGATGCTCATAGGTAAAATTTTGTACCTAACACATGCGGAAAGTGCCTTTACCGCCCTTAACGGCTTGACCGAACTCTGCTTCGCGTCGTTCGGTCAACTGCCGTTGCGTGCGGTAAAGTATCACTTTCCGCATTTGTTAGGTAATAGTTATTTAATTATTAATTAATGAAATTAGATAAGATTTAGAAATTATCAAAAATCCATTTTCTGAAAAAGAGAGGATTTTAAATATCAAATTCTACTTTACCGCACACTTTGTATTCTACTTTACCGCATACTATGCTGTAAAGTTAACTTTACCGCATACTATGCGATAAAGTGCACTTTACCGCATAGTGTGCGGTAAAGTGATACTTTCCATTTGCAAATACGTGCGGTAAAGTGCACTTTACCGCACGCTCGTAGGTAAATAACTATTAAAGTTTAGCTGTCAATTTTACAAGTCAGTAAAGCCAGTAACTGGTAAAAATCAATTTTCGTTGTTCATGTTTTGACTTGATAAATGATGTTTTACCAATGAGTGACAAATAATAGTTATTTTATTTCCTCCGAGGTTTGTATACTATTTTATTTGCAAGCACACAATTAATTATGATGAGTCAATCAGTTTTTTTGATATTAAAAAAATAAAACAAATATGCCAAAATGTATCATTCACTGCTTTGACGTTTTAACCTGACATGTTCTCATTGTTGCCAGCAAAGGTAAATAAATTAGAGTGAGGGAAATCGGTGAGGGAAGTCGAATAGGGAAATCGGTGAGGGAAATCGAAGAAGGAAGTGACACAGGTAAAGTGTCACTTCCAAATTTTTGAAAAGTCAGTAATGACAAGATTACATATATGTTTTAGGATGCCCAGAGATGACAAAATCGCAAATAAAAAATTCAGGTCCGTATTTAAAAAAAGGAAGTTGAGGATGGCCGCCTGAAGACGAAACGTCGAATTTTAAATTTAGTAGCACCATCTTCTAAAGAGGAAAAAGTGACAATGATGAAGTGACATTTATTTTGAAATTTCTTTTCAAATAAGCCTGGGAAAAAATAAAAAACAATTTTACAAAATTTCGGTTTTTTTCCGAATATCTCCGGAAGTATTCGGAATCTTTCTTGTTTCAAAACAGCATTCTGTTGGTCATAAAATTGCGCAACTTTGCCATAATTTAACCGACCGTGGTCATAAAATTGCGCAACTTTGCCATAATTTAACCGACCTCGTATTTCTTACGGTTACCGAGATCCAAATAATGAGGCTCGAATTTGAGCCACCCTGTACATAAATAATCATACATGGTTATTGTTCACATAAACAGAGCGTTTACAGTGCATTAAGATATTCAAAATACTAAAAATGTTCCTTTTTTTATTTCAGTCCAAAGAATCTTCGAGTGTTCTCAGTTGTGATATCTCAACAGACGATAAATACATTGTGACAGGATCAGGTGACAAAAAAGCGACAGTTTACGAAGTGATATATTGACAGTGTTAGTGAACTCTCTCTAGTAGTGGGACCAGATTTCAAACATAATCGCGCTGAAACATCTCCGTGTGTGAAATGTCGCAAAATTTTTTAGCTTATTGTGAGGAAAAGACTTTGGAAAAGCACAGGATCGTTATTTTATGTCAAAGTTTTTTTTTTTACACAGAATATTTTAAAGTTTTATTCTGACATTGGAAATAAATCTTTATGTGACAACTATACTTTTTTTTGTGTTTTATTCAAAAACTTTTTATAATACAAAATATCAATTCCTTACGTTAAAAGTCACAATTTTAGCTAACACAGCAGCTCTCCTGTCAGTATTCTGAAATAATGCCTTGATAAGCCCTTTCAACTCGTCTCCTTCAAATTGCAATGCCAATGGTCCTTTTCCATCAGCCCATCTATCATTAATTTGCATCAAACTTGAATTCAAAACAAAACTGAGTTCGTTTAATTTATACCACAAAGGTACGTACAGTGCAACTTCATTGGGATTAATAAACAATTTTGGTGCTCTTGTCAGTATTAGTTTGATAACTTCCACTAAATCTTCTGCAACTTTTGCTGGAATGTCTTCAAATTTTATTATGTCTCTAATAAGGCATCTACATAAAGCGTTCACAATTATGCCTATATTTTTATTGTAGACTTCATAGGGGAGTACTTTATGCCAAACAGTCCGGAGTAATTCTTGTTGCCTCAAGCATTGTCTAATGCTTTTTTCTGTTTTTGAGTCTAATTTTTGAATGGTACGGCCTTCTAGTTGCGCGCCTTCCATTATTTCTTCAATTTGTTTAACTTGACCATCAATATATATCTGAAACAACTCGTGCTCTACTGAGGAGAATTGACCAATTTCTTTACTAAAATCACACGTGTCTAAAACGTGTCTCAATTGGCTGCAATACTCCATATTCCATTTTACCAAAGTGTAAGATATGTATTGGCAATTATTTAAAAACACTGCGATTTGTTGGGGTAGAGTTGTCAGATAGGTTTTATGGAATTCAGGAACAAAAGTTAAATATTTTGACAAAATGTTTGTGACAGTGGTAAAAAGACGACCGCTGCATTCTGGTGACGCTCCTAAAGCTTTTTGGAGAATTTCTTCACAAAATTTCAAGAGTTCTTGGACGTTTTTTGAAATGGCGCATTGAGAAAACTCCAATTCCACATTGCCTAAAAAATTAGATATGTATTAGAAAAAAATCTATTGATACATACGAAAGAACCCGGATTATATGAGTCGCAACGAACCAATCTAAAGACAAACACCCTGATTATCCAATGTATGCGTGCTATGCTCCGTATGAAGCTCAGATAGCTGGGGTTTTACTGTACTTACATTAATTTGATATAGTTTTTTATTTTTTTAAAGATTTGTTACATTTTGATGTAATTTTTAGGGAGTGTTTGCAAATGGGTAAAAATATTCAAATATATTTATTTAGTTTTTCCTATCCTTAAACCCGAGAAACTTTCAGATGGAATTGATAGAGAACAAGTCACATTCATGTTTAATAAAGCCTTTTTATTTCCAAGTTTGAAGTAGTAGTATCACCTCTGCCTATTGATTGGCATGTCAAGGTTTCAAATTTTAAACAAGGCGCTTTAAAAAAAAAAGAGTTAAATTTCAATTCCTTTGAGAAATGATATATTGATAGTCTAGTGAACTTCCTTTCGTGCAGTCGAACACCAAGGAAACATCAAACTTGCGGTATGAAGTTAAATACCGCAGATAGACTTGTGCCGCCTATATCCAATGTAAAAACGTGCAATGTCTCGAGATCATCATACACCGGTGCAGCAAACGCGTGGGCTGCACTGGTGTACGATCATCCCGAGACATTGTACGTTTTCACAATGAATGTATGCGACACAAGTCTATCCGAGGTATTTATTTCATGTTGCACGTTGCATGTTTGATTGGTGTTTCATTGGTGTATAAACGCACTTAGTAAAAGGATTAGACTTTAGACATAACTCCAACACATCTCAGGGTGTCATGTATTTCCTTCTACAAATTTTTTTAATGGGAATAGTTGAACAATTTGTAGTCTTCAAAGATCGTTCATCATCATCTAACATATTAAAAATTAATTACCCACCTAATGGATACTCAGGATTGTAAGGTACTCCAACATCCATAATATCGTGTAGATCATGTTTCATAATTTCAATGGCACTCTCCAAGTAGCCTTTGCACATTTTATTAATAAAAAGCACATCAACATTGTTGGCATATTCTAGAATGGAGGTAGTGTCTGTGGTAAATATTTGTGCATCTAAAAAACATCAAAATAGGAAAATTAATTGCTTATAAAAGCTAAAATTTCTTACCTAACAATGATTTTTCCAATTTTTTAGTAGCCTCTATAACCACTTTATAATTCTGAAGTTCTTCTGTGCTTGATGGAATTGTATCTCTTAAACAATTTTTGATTATCAATTCTGATAAATTATCTCTTATATCATTTCCAATGTATCCCAACACTGTGAGATTATCAGTTACATCATAATTAAAGTGTTTTGTCAAAAATCCTAACACTTTTTCTAAATTATTAAAAACAACGGTGTAATCAGACTTTTTGTCTGCACTTTTCACATTAAGATTAAGAGAAGCAAATGAAATGGTATCTTTTTCAGTTATTTCAATTTCCTGGTTTACAATAGGCACAAACAAATCTTCCCAAAGATACTTAGCTATTTTACTTAGCAGGAGTACTTGATTCTGACTACTATAATAGGCCATGATAGCAGTTTTCATTTCTTCATTAGGTTTTTTGATTTTCAATATTGTAACATGCTTTTCTGGCACTTGTTTCACATAAATGTTATCAGTGATGATATTTTTCAAAGTATTTTTAAGCCTGGAAACAAATCTCTTATTAAAAAAATAAAAATCTATTTGAAACAAATATTACATTAATTCTTCTTCTGTCACGCTTAACACCAGCTGATTTATAGCATCAAACTTTTCGTCTTCAGGCATGGCTTCAATGAATGCATTAAACTCTTTCAAAATTGCAATGCACTTGACATACTGGGACGCAGCTACGTTTTTCTTGAAATTATTGATTTGCTCCATGATATTGAGCAAGTTCAACAAGACCCTCATTTTAAATTCAACTTTATACAATTCATTTACATTGCTCTTCAGGTCTTTGTCAGCTTTTGTCAGATCCTTGTTAGCTAGGAAATCTGCTTTGTCTTTTAGATCTGTCAGAGTGTTTTGAAACTGTTTGGCTTTCTCCAGTAAAATATTGTTAGTTGTGTGCCTGAAATAGACAGGAATCATATATTTGTGAGCTCTTGATTAAATGGCCCTCGGCCCACCTAGTCCTCAATGACGTCAATATTCCATAATTAGTTCGTTACTTTATAAACTCTACGCAAATAGTTCAAAGAAAATTTATTGATGTTGCTTTGTACAGGGATGGCCAATGTGGACACTTTAAACTTTTAATAGGAAACGTCAATTTCTGAGTGAGCTGCAAAAAAATCAACCACCAACTAACTACAAGCCTCAAATTTAATGAAATCTTCATTGGTGGAAACCCCATTTTGATTATCTTCAACCTTTTTGTGTTACTCGATTTGAGCAATACTGTGAAAGCAAGATAAGGAAAATAGCGTAATACAAGTCACGCCCACAACCCTGGATATAAATAACGCAGGTCCAACAACGTCGAATCCATTCATCGGAGGAACACGAAATAGAACACTTCGCTACCACATATTAATTGATCGACTGAAAATTACCGTTCTAGAACGAGTCTCATGTCGGTTGGAAGTTGGACCAGAGGTATTTTTAGAGCGGTATTTTAAAGGTGTTTGAAAAATAAAATAATTTTCTTTTGGAATTTCTTGGATTTTTTTCAAATTAGTCAGTGATTTGCACCTTGGATGTTTACTTATAGATACTTAGTACACATTTTGCCTCCAGAAATATCAAATAGTGAGCTTATGATGATGATCCTGAAAAATGGAAAGAAAGTTTTCTTACACATATTTTTAAAGCTGGCAATAGACCAGACATATCAAACTATTGCCCAATTAGTAAAGTGTCAGTTATTCCAAAGGTTTTTGAATGTATTGTGACTGAAAAAAATCCCCCCATGCTTTAGAAATGTTCTCTCGACTGCTCAACATGGATTCGTTAAAGGAAAGTCAACTACTTCTAACCTCTTATTATATCAAGATAATCTTGTTAAAGGTGTAGAATAGACCTATCTATTTTACCAGACAAAGAGGTAATAATACGAAAACTTCATTAAATAAAAAAAGACACAGAACGCTTATTGCGCAAGACGAGGCAAAACGTACCAAATTATGTTAGACTTACGTACAGCAATCTGTCCTTCTTATTTGCACAGGATAAAAAGAAAAGGAGAAAAACCGCGTGTTGTGCAGTGTATTTGTCAATGAAAATGTCAAACAACTTTTGAATGACACTTGTCAAGTTGAATATCAATTTTAGATTTATTCTTGTCGGACCACATGCGATGAACAAGGATATAGAGATGCCCACCGTCCAAAACGATCACCTCACACCTGTATTAGCTAGCCAATAAAAAGACATTGCCTCGTGTTGCGCGCGCATACCAGGTAAAAATAGATAGGTCTATTGGGAACTCAAGTAGGTAGACTCCATCAGCACTGACTAAGCTTAATATATCTATATTTACAAAAAAATTGGAGGCCTTTTGCATTCGGGGGATTTTTTGGCATGGATAGATAATGTCTGCCCAGCGACTCTGTGTCTACGGGCCAACGGTAAGGGGAATGCAGTTGTAAAAAAAAATGGTTGATTTCATTCATAAAATACCCAGCTGCGAGCGGAATTTTTTGGAAGTGTTATCGTATTTCAACTCCTACACAAAAATCGAAAATGACCAAACCCCCGCCACTGGATATTTCAATATAAATCGATATTCCAAGATGGGAGGATACAATGATGGAAGCCCTGGCCAATAGCGAGACGTAAGGTGACGTTAGCCCATTGACAACGACATGGTTCCCCGTGGCAACGGCCATCCTGCCAAAAACTCCACCAATCAGGTTCATCCAGGCCGGATGCTTGCCAAATTGTCAAAAACTGATGGTATCTTTAGAAAATGTTTATTTTTTACAATGGACAAAATTGAAGAAATCAGTTATTAGAATAAGAATAGATCTAACAACCACGTTGAAATATTTAGCGTTTTATTGGTATCAATATTTTGTTATTAAAAAATGGATTTTCAAATGAACTATACTTCATGCCTGGTATTTTCGCTTTTTAATAATTAAACGTGACAACATGGCACATTTATGTCCGAATTCCTTCCGTAGACTCAGATCCGCTGGGCAAACAATAACTTTCTGGGCAGCAGTGTACAGTACGTCAAAATTAAAAATTTTATTTACGACTAATGTATAATGTGCGTATTATATTTGTGATTTTGGCAGTATAATGACATATGTTATTCCTCCAGGGATTAATGACGAGTAGCGGGATTAATGGTCATTATTCCACAAAAGTTTCAGTGTCAAACGTGTAGTGCTTGTGGATTTGTATTGAAAATTATGAGACAGATAAAATTTGTTCATTGAAAATCTCAAATAAACTAATTTGTCGTAAATAAAGTAGAGTATACTACTCGCAATAATGGCTATTATTCCCTCGGAATGTAACTCCCTCGCCGCTAATGCGGCTCAGTTCGTAATAATCCTCGGGAATAATAGCTATCATTATTGACTCGTGGTATAATCTACTATTATTTCATTTCCAATAAATGTCGTATCTGGTGTTCCTCAAGGAGGACATGTTTCTCCCTTACTATTTAATTGCGACATTAAGGATGTTGAAGATTTTATCCATTACAGTGACATATTGTTATATGCGGACAATTGTAAGTTGTATAGGCCTGTTGGGTTCATATCAGACTGTAAGCAGCTACAACTAGACTTAACTTACCTATGGTTATATTTCACGTAGATATTTTCAACATTAATAATAATATCATTTTTAAGAGATTCTACATCTTGCTTCAGCTTGGGGACTTTTTTATTCACCTCATCTACATCTATTTTGGTGACAGCCGGCAGTATTTCCGCAAGAATACTCATGTTGCAAGTTCTACAAAGTTAACAACAGTCAACAAATAATTTTTAGATATTTTTAGTACTTGAAAAATATACCTACATTCTAACAATGCCAACAAAATGAACAAAATTTGCTACCTCAATGGATAGAACCCAACCGAAAACACTAAAAACTTCACAACTTTGAAAACAACAACAAACAGCTGACAGGTCACAGGTGACAGACTACAGGCCGGGGATTCTAAAATCACGATTCGACATACGACTCGACAACGAGACGATTTTTCCGACGATTCTAGGTTAGAAATCTCATTGGAATTGTACCTTTCGAGACGACAAGGCCGGTATCGTTATCGAGTCGTGTGTCGAATCGTGATTTTAGAATCTCGGCCCAGAATAGTTGTATTCCTTCCACACCTAGGAGGAGTTCCGGAACAGCTCCGGGGCTTCACGCGCTTATTCCTTTCGAATAGTGTTTGTTGCACCACGCATATGTTCCCTGCAAATCGGGGGTGACTAAGCACCGAAGCGAGTAGCTCGAGTGTTTCAAGCTCTTGAAAGGAATACAACTAATGGCTGCGTTCACCAGAGCCAAAACGGATTGTTGTGGTAGAACGTACAGTGACTCTATTACCACAGTGGCGACAATTGCTGTCTTATTTTTGATTGGTTCTAAAATCCCATATATTTATATTGAAAACACCGCCATCTTGTTCCCAACCTCTTGTTACTTTTGAATAGGAATATATGGGATTTAGGTGAACATCCATCATAAATCATGGAAAACAACGTATTTGATGGACCTAATAATGATTATCAAATACGTCGATATCAATTTTTTATGATAGATGTCCATTTAAATCCTATATTTAAAAGTAACAAGAGGTTGGGAACAAGATGGCGGCGGGACCTCTATTGTCGCCACTGTATAAAGGTTTATTTAGCCACTGTAGTAGAACGGGTAGAACGTCGCCCATGTGTACGTACCAACTGAATGAGGAAAAGATACTTTCCGCATGATTAAAGGAACGTTATTTTTCCACGATCGTGCGGGAAAGTACTTTTCCGCACGCAGTTTAGGACATGAAAGTATCAGGGTGACCTAACGTTGCATAATTATTTCACTTTTCCACACTAGTGCAGAAAAGTGATATTGTCAAGACCCAAAATGCGTGCAGAAAAAAAACAATTTTCGCACGCTCGTAAAAAAAAATCAAAAAACAAAATATATATCGATATATTCAAAATATCGATGTTTTTCATTCGATATAATAGGTGGGTTCGGCTTGCTCACTCCGTGCACTCCGAGTGACTCCATTAGCACTCCAGCCGTTCGGGTTATGGTTCGGGTAATGCTTTTTACCGTATTAGGGGTGACTCCATTAGCTCTGTTCACTCCACTCTAACAACTCCGCGCTGAATAGCCGAACCCAGCTAATATTGCCATCCCTAAGAAAACCTCGGTAATAATGAGATTCCTTATGCTTTCGATCTGTGGAACAAATTGATTGTGATAACATGAGGTTTGTTCTGAGGTGTCAAAAAATAGCTGGGGCCAATGAAATCGTTTAAAAACCGGATGAAAATTTTTGAAACAGACCTCAAGTGACTTCGATCAGTTTGTTCAGAGCCGCTTTCCAGCTGTGTGCTTCAAGCACGGTGCAGCACAGTGTTCTGTGTTTGAAACGCAAAAGTTAGCAGCGCTCTCGAAGCGCAGTACGGCTGGAACACGAACACGCGCTTGAAGCATTTGCGTGCGCAAAAGCTTGATTGCGTGCTCAGAAGCGTCAGCTGGAAAGCGGCATATATCGAAAGAATACACCTATGAGAGGAATGGTTGATTTTAGCCGCTTTCCAGCTGACGCTTTTGAGCACGCAATCGAGCTCTTGCGCACGCGAATGCTTCAAGCGCGTGTTCGTGTTCCAGCCGTACTGCGCTTCGAGAGCTGCTAACTTTTGCGTTTCAAACACAGAACACTATGCTGCACCGTGCTTGAAGCACACAGCTGGAAAGCGGCTATTGTTGACATAAAGACACAACCACACCCCACACCGCAGCCACACCAAAAAATTTTGATGTGACCAGTGCGTCACCTGGAGCGCTCCCAAAGTACTTTCTGAACGGAACAGAGTGCGCGCACTCGGTATGTCTATAGCATTTATTTATGAACGGCTAGTGCATCGCACCGGTGTCACACTCACACTGAGTGTGTCATTCCTGAACTCGCCCTGAAAAACTGACAAGAATGACAGGGGTGAAATTTACCCAGCGGCAGAGTTGGTTAGGAAAGAGTGCACACTGGGTAGCACCCCGGATATTTCGAACTAGCGTGAAAGTCAACCGGAGCTTTGCCAATTTATTTTCGAACTGCTGGTGTGCATTCGGTGTGACACCCAGGATAATTTCGAATGCACTCTAAACGTTGAATAGCGTTAAGCCTCCTTTAAAATGGTCGGTGCAAAGCGGATAGCCTATCCTCATAAGGCCTGTCTGGAACAAATCCCCCCCTACCCACGACCGCCAAATCACCAGTTGTGACATAGGCAGCAGGCTATGTTATGACGTCGGATATGGTGACACACCAATATGGCGGCGATTACCAAAAATGAAGCTGATAAGCAATCCTGTAGGTGTGTTTGCTCCTTGCAATGAAGCTCCTTGAGTGCAAACGGCCATTATATCCGGAAAATCACGATCATCAAACAAGAGTCAGACATATTATTTATGTGCCATGTGCGGTTGTACTGAAACGAGTAATTAAGAACAGAAATATTTAAATATCATTAGTTTTCTTCCATCAGCAGGAAACCGTACATTTCACATTTTTGTTTGTGTTTGCAAGGATAATACACACTACTACAGGATTGCCTATCGGCCTCGTTTTTGGTAATCGCGGTCATATGGTGTAGCACCATTGTCGATGTCATTAACTAAGTCGTCAATTAACGAAGGTCAGCTGTTTGCGCCAGCGGTCGTGGTTTAGAATTTAAATTTATGATGAAAAATATTGATCAATTATCAATTTGGATTAACAAGAGGAAGCAAAGAGGAAGATGCGAACGAGATATAAAAAAGAGTGATTTTAGAATGTTACTTTAATTTAATCTAGTAGAATCAAGTATGCATAAAGCAAAAGCCTGCGGAATTATACCCTGTGGTGCAAACACCCCAAGGATTATTCAAACATACAGGATTGCTTTTCCATTTCCGACGTAGTAACTAGTCGTCAGCAGTTCAAACGGCCTATGTCAAGGCGAGGAATAACATGCTACTACGTCACAACTGGTGATTTGGCGGGTTTGGGGGAGGAGGGATTTGTTACAACCATGGGGCCGATTCTCGGGCAAGGGCGTAGAGCCCCCCAAGAGTAGAAATTTTTCGTCTTCATCATTCTCGTTTACTTTCCGATAAAGTTGACAATAAATAAATTTTATTAGTTCATCGGCCCCCGGGGCCTTATGAGGATAGGCTATCCTGTAGTAGTAGTAGTAGTTGTATTCCCTTCACACCTAGGAGGAGCTCCGGAACAGCTCCGGGGTTTCACGCGCTTTGTTCTTTCGAAAAGTTTTTGTTGCACCTGAGTGCTCATCAAGCCCGAACTCAACCATTTAGGGCGGGTATTATAAAGCTGCTTTGCCAGTTAACTTGAGGGCGGGTATTATAAAACTACTTTCAGAGTTAACTTAAAGTTAACTTCTGGAATTACATGTAATTCAAAAAGTTAACTTGAAGTTAACTGTCAAAGCAGTTTTATAATACCCGCCCTTAAATGCACAAAAGCCAGCGAATCTGGCCGAGTTCGTTTTTGTCATCTTTTTTGTCAATATGTTCCGAAATTTTGACAGACCAGGGATTTGTGAACTGAAACTGCCTTAAGCCTAGTACTCATAACTGCGAAATTCGCATTTTTTTGATATTGCTTCGACAATTTGGCGTTTGATACACGCATTAAACGTCAAATTGTCAACGCAATGTCAAAAAAATGCGAATTTCGCAGTTATGAGTACTAGGCTTTATCCAGTCACGTGCCTGTCAACATTTTGGAGTGAATCGGACGAAAACGAACTCGGTCTCTGTTCCTTTCAAATCGGGGTCGACTAACCCCGGAGCGAGTAGCTCTAGTGTTTCAAACTCTTGAAAGGAATACAACTGCAGCTGGGTTCGGCTATTCAGCGCGAAATTAGAGTGGAGTGAACAGAGCTAATGGAGTCACTCCTAATACGGTGAAAAGCAATAACCGAACTAAAAACCCGAACGGTTGGAGTGCGAATAGACGGCTAAAGCCGAGCCAAAATTGGCATATTGCGTTCAAGTACGGCTCCAGCGTGCCAAAAACGGTTGGCTTTACACGTTCCAAATCGGCCGCGGTAAAGTAACTTTTGGAGGCTCTTTCAACTGAGTCTAGAAATGGTTATACGAATTTTGATTGGATGAGACCAAATTCAATATGGCGTGGCGGCCAGTAAGTTAGTTTTGAATATGTGTTTTCATGCATATTTCAATTAATTTGTTTGTTTGCAGCTTCGATTTTGATTATCCAATAAAATATTGGTTAACTAAGTACGTAAACTATTAAGTCGGGCAGAAACTAGATATTTTTTGTGTTTTTTGGTCCATGTATGGTCGCCACGCCATATTGAATGTCACGTGGTTTGGATTGCCTATTGAGAAACGGTATTTGGCGTTCCAGCAAATTCACACCAGATTTGGCATCGCCGGTAGAAGGGGAATAGAAGGTTTTGGCAATTAGCAGTGCCGTCTTTGAACGCACTCCAGAAATTCCTGTCTGACAAGGTGACAGAAGTGACAGTTAACTAACTTGACAAATGACACTGACATTCTTCCATTCCCCAGTCAGTGTAGTTTCAAGGGATATGTATGTGATTTTTCAGCGATTTAACGAGTTCCCACAGGAATGATTTGTGTTTCTCAAGATATGCGGTTTAAAAATATCTTCAAATTAATTTTTCCTTTAATTTGAACAAAAAATACACTCAAACAATTCAGCAATCTGAATCGTCTAGGGTGCAAAAAAGTCAGTGAGCAGCAACATCAGTACAAATACAAACTTTAAATTTACTGTGGGCCTATATTTGAAGGCCCAACCCAAAATCTAAATAAACCAATTTTTGAATATCCTTTTTTTGAACAATTAGTTAAAATGTCTTCAGGACGCCCAATAAAATGTGTTGTAGTAGGAGATGGTACAGTTGGTAAAACTTGTATGCTTATTTCATATACAACAGATAGTTTTCCTGGAGAATATGTTCCTACTGTGTAAGTATCGTACCCATGAAGTTTCCCCAAATATACAAAATATCAATAATCATTTTAGTTTTGATAATTATTCTGCACCAATGGTAGTAGATGGTATCTCAGTTAGTTTGGGACTATGGGATACAGCAGGCCAAGAAGACTACGATAGATTGAGACCATTATCATATCCACAGACTGATGTATTTTTAATTTGCTTTAGTGTAGCCTCTCCTTCATCTTTTGAGAATGTCACATCAAAATGGTATCCGGAAATTAAACATCATTGTCCTGATGCTCCTATGATACTTGTTGGTAAGTGTAATGTAAATACTTCTGTCTAAAAAACTACTGGACAAAATCCTGCTTGTAGGTACTAAAATTGATTTAAGAGACGACAGAGAGACACTCAATAATTTAGCTGATCAAGGACTGAGTCCCATAAAAAGGGAACAAGGACAAAAGCTTTCGAATAAAATTCGAGCTGTAAAATATATGGAGTGTTCAGCTTTAACACAGCGTGGCTTGAAGCAGGTATTTGATGAGGCAGTTCGTGCAGTCTTGAGGCCTGAGCCTCAGAAAAGACGCCAACGTAAATGCATTATAATGTAATTTTAGCATTTTGTATTAGTATTTATTTATTGTTTTAATGCAAAATTTAGGAATCTATTATTTTTTTTAATGCTTTCGCTTCATTTTATTGATGTACTGTCTAAATAACATGAGTAGACGCCTCTACTATCCAGGCTAGTTCACTAATTCAAAATCAAATAAAGGCAGTGATTTTCAGTTGATACAATGTAAGCTTTCTATAGAGTATCAGTTTATTTTCTTGAGAAATATAATTATTAATGCCTGCCACTAGCTCAGGGACTTGGGCTTGAGGCCACTGGTTGTTCAGCTAGTACGTTTCATTGAAGGCTTTTGCTTGCATTTTGAATAGGAAAAAGTTATACAAAACATAAAATTAACCCTCAATAAACTATTATTTTTCAAACAAACTGAATGAAATTAAGGGTATGAGATTTTAATATATTTTATTAAAAATTTTAACAGAAAAAGAATAATCCGTCCTAAAACCAGACCCTAATATGTTTTGTAAAACTTCATAGTGAAAAGGTGGCTATTAATAGAAGAGTCCTTGTCATCACATCTCATGTTTCCTATATTGAAATAGTCTGTTTAGCTTCAATCTTAATCCGCTTATTCGTTTCTTCATTATCGAAATCATGGATAGTATAGATATTTTTGTATAGAGGAAGCAACATATTTTTAGCATTTTATACTGTTTTCACCAAAAATTAAATAAAATTGGCTCGAATAAGAGGATCTTGTCTTCTACAGGTTCTTTTATATTAGTAGAATAAATTGATTCACATTACTCCACTTCCAGTGAAAAATGAACTGATAAAATTTATTTATGTTAATTTAGTCATTTCTATACCTACTCTGTAAAATATTAATTTAGAAAAAAGGTGAATATACACAGTAGGATAATAATAAATAGATTTTTATATAATATATTATAATGTAGATGATTTTTAGAAATTTAAACTCAAAATTATAGAATCTCTTTTAATTCTTTTACTGCCATCTAGGTACAGCTAATTAAGTATATTCTTGATTTGTGATAAATGAATCTTCACATTTAGACTGAAAAACATGATTTATTTTTAAGAAGCAGCTAATGTTCCATCATTTTCTGAATTTGTAAGACCCTTGAACTCATTTTTAGTTTTGTTTGAAAGCAACACCAATGCTTATTTTAATATTTTTGCTACATAAGGATACTGATTTGCTAAGTATAGTACATACTTTGGTCAACTTCTGCCACCAAGCTGCAATTTTGTAAACCTACACATAATAATTATTTAAAATGAAAGTATTATGCCATGCCATTGTTAAAACAAAAATATTTGAGAAAAAACAATCAACAAACTGTCTCCTTAAGTAACATTGTAGAGAAGTCAATTGAACACCATAAATATATTTTCAGATATTCGTGAATTGTAGCCTGGAATATCGCTACTGGATTAAAGAGATCTATTTAAATCTCTTGATTAAATATTGTGCAGTCAGCAAGAATTGAGCTGCAGGAAATATGCGAATTTATATGTATCCGATTGCAACTGTGTGTTTCTATATCGTTTTCACCTTGTTCTTCTCCTCAGACTGGAAAGCTTTTTTCTCAGTGACCAAGGTTTTTTCTGGGCCTTTTAATGTATTCAGAAACAGCATCTCAAGGTTTAACTTCTCATTAAATCGACAATGTTTGGATCTATACTAATATAGTAAAGCTGAAGAGTTTGTTCGTTTGAATGGGCTAATCTCTGGACCTACCAGTCAAATATAATTTTTTTTTGAATTTGATAGTCCAATTATTTAGGGAGGTTATAGGCTAATAATAATCACACTTGACCTTTAGAAAACAAAGTCATAGTATGGGCGGGCGATAAGACATGGTGAGTTGATGGCCGAGGGCAAATAGAACATTATTAAGCCTATGTCAACGAGGTAAAGTATTTTGCACAATAAATGGTTGACTCCTTTTAACTACCTGGGGTGCGATTTCCGAAACTATTTGAGTACATTTTGTACACGAAATTTGACTGACAGCAATGAAAATTAAAACGAGCCCTGGGCGTTTTGAAAGAGCTCGGCCATGAACACAATAGAAATACAATGGGTAGTGCTGAAAGTTTTTATGGGAGTATCCGTGTGATTCATCAAACGCGAGATGTACTTTTGGGGGTGTGGTTTGTGAAAGTCGTGCTTAAGCGAGCTTGAACATCGACTTATGACTACCGGGCTAAAATTGGCGCATGCAAAGCCGCGCGCAACACTAGCAACAGCTAATTGTACAATAGGAGAGTTTTTTTTTTGTTTAAATAATTTGTTTAACAATGTTCTGACATAATATCTTCATGCTATTTACATAGGTTTACAAAATTTCAAGTTGATTGCGAAGTTTACCTAATACTGGAGTACCTCACCTTAATACCCCAAAATTCTTCAGAAGTTTTTTGCTAGTTTGTAGCTTTGGAAGTAAATACACAATTTATTAGACCCAAAACAACATAGTCTTAATTATAAAAATTCACCACCTTCCATTATCCATGAAAAATCAAATCAAAAATATGTATTGTATATAATTATTCCATAATGCAATTTTGTATAGTGTACAAAAAGAAAAAACAATTTGTTACAAATTTTATTTAAAAAGATAAAAATTGCATCAATTTTTTCTGTGATTTGTTTAACATCGACAAATTTGTTCATTATTTAATCGAAACAATAATTTATTGTCAATTATTTTTCTCAGATCAATGTTTCTACTTCTTTTGTGCCATTTTTATATATTTTTGTATAATGTTTGTATGTAGTTGATTTTTTAGTAATTTTCAATTTCTAACTACTAATAATGATGTGCAAGTTTTTTACTGCTTTTTAGAATAGAAGATTTTGCTTTTCATCTAGTTTTGCTTTCCATATTCCACTGAGGTAAAAGTGTACATCCAAGTTTACAACTAAATTGGAATATGAAAATTAAGTAAGCTTGAGGGCTTTTTCAAACTGGTATTAGATTAAGTTGTTCAACAACAATTTGGACAAGAAAATTAACTAATCACAGTTCCTCAAAGCCCTTGACGTAGTTGATAAAAACTGCAGCTAATTGGGATTAACTTTTATTAATTAACTAATTTTAGTTTATAAGTTACACTGCTAATCATGACATTTTTTTACATTATTTTATTATGACCAAAGTAATATTATATATTATTAATAATGTACTGTTCTAGTCACAAGTTAAGTAAAGTAAGAATCTCTTTGTATTGCACAATAATATAATAGTTTTGACTTATTTTGAACACAATGGACATCACTCTCTTCTTATACATGATTGTGTAAGTTGCATTTTACTTATATTTAATGAAAATATACTGTAATTTGGTTGTTTAGTGTTGTTATTTTATGATAATAATATTTTCTTTATCAAAATGAAAAAAATTACTTGTAGAAGTGGTGAAATTAAACAACTTGATGTTATTTTCCTACCATCTGCTACTATGCACATGTGATATCGATTATCAATATGAATACATAACAAGAAAGTGTAACAAATATAAGAATGAAATAAATAAGTTTCATCTATATAGGGTGTCCCACTAAGGTCGACGAGGTACGATATTATGGATACCATATTTGCATATAACTTGAAAACGAATGCAGATATTGAATTGTGGTTTGCACCCAAATGTAGATATTTTTTTGCTCTTCAAGCACAGCAATAAAAAAATAATATCATGCCATTTGGATTTCCCAAGAAAATTAGAAAAAAACTGGATTTTGATTAAACAGCGCCAGCGGTCATCTTAGATACTTGAAAATAATTTCCATCTATTTCTCTTGGCCGATTTAGTGAAGAAAAAAATAATCCTGAAGCCGTAAGGTCTATGGTTTTCATAATATCGTACCTTGCCGACCTTAGTGGGACACCTGTTACCCGGTACAACAAAATAGCCAGAGAAAACTATGATTTAATCACATCCAAATAATAATACCTATTGTTATTGATTTGACAATAGTTCCAGTTTATATTTAGATCCTATCTAATCTATAAGAAGAGGTCTCAAGCTTAGTTTTTAAAGCTGGTGTTAGTGAATTGCAACTCTGCAATAAAGGCAATAAGGATCTTTGAAACGTAGCATTTCTGTGATCGAGCATTGAAAGACGATTCCGATGCATTAGGAAACGGTGATTAATGATCTATCTGCAACTTAAGCTTTCCCTCTAAATATACCAGTGTAGAGTCCCTCAAAAATTACTTCCAGGCACTGGTAGAAGACTACATATTTCCATAATCAAATACCGACAAAATCCAAGATTCCTATACATTGCATTTCGAACCCAAGTAAAGTCTGAACTTGCTTGAATTTTGTTGGCATTGATTTTTGGATTGTGTTTTTTTTTTACTTCTGAAATATCCCAAACTAATCTTTATTCGCATGACTGTATTTGTACATTGGGGACACCTGATTTTTCACTAGTAAAGTTATGGTTTTCTAAGATAGCGTTACCATAATAGGGCGACTGTTATAAAACGCTATCCTGTATTTCACATGCTCTCAGTTTTTTTTAGGAACCGGTAGGCAATACCGCCATCGCCACACAAAAAAAAAAACGGCACCCTCATCTTTGTGACGCCTGTTATAGCGGTGGGAGACAGTGCGAGTAGATTTTTTTCCATTGCGTTATGGTGCTTTTGACACAGACACAGTAGAATTATTAACAAAGATCACTAAGCAGTTAAATTGATTCGACTGATCTAGCATCAGAAAGTCACGTTTATCAACCAGTACCCAACAGCAAGACATCATACAAAACAACACATTAGCATACTTTAATACAAAAAGCTTATCACGAACAAGATAGTCTTTGAAGTATTCTTCAATTTCATACATCCAGACGATTCTTAAACTGATCTCGTTTAGATAGTATATTCTTGCAGGAAGTGCAAGTGGTACACCACTCAGTTTTGCATTTGCTTATATTAATTTCTCCTTTGAAGCTGGTTGCTTTTTTCTTTTCCAGTTTTTTGGAACGTCCGTGTTTGCTATTATGGTAAACATTCGATATATTTTCACAAAAGTAGCTTCCATTAGTCCACAATATTACGTTTTTATTAGGTCACCTATAAGTCTACGATCAATGTCTATATGTTCGCAGTGGCAAAATAGAAAGCTTTTCCAAGTAACTATGCAGTTCTGAGGCTCTGCCGAGGGAGTTTAGTTCCAAGATTTCCATATTTTTAATAAAATATAGGTTCCAAACTGGCATTGCAAATTCCATTTTGGTTTAGGTCTTGTAATATAATTTTGTATAGGTAGGTATAGTTAAGCCATCGCATAAGTTTTGGATGGGTTTTTGTATGCGATTTTTATGAGAAAAATTATTGTATCTTCATTTGACCAACTGCTAATTGTTTCTAGGTCTCCTTGTAAGAATTCTGGACCTTCAAATGGATTACCTACAACAATATTTTGCAGCGTCTGCAAAATATTCTATAGGTGAGCGCTGGCCGAGTCACTATAGTGTCTCCTTATCCAAGTTTATCAGCATTGCATTCTCTCTTAAACTCGATGTTGTTGACAATTTATTTCACAGCTAAACGCAGCCAGTCAAATGCTTTACATTCGTCGCTCTTCGAACAAGGTTTTTTCGTTAAAACTGTGAAAATGGTCAAATTTACGTTCGAAGACTGAAGAGTATGCAGACAGGCATCTTTATGGCGAAGCAAGGCGAAACACTAGAGAACCTGACTGGCTGTATGCTGAGCAATTTCCTAATCACCGAAATCTGTCTTGAAACACATTTTCGGCAATACATTGCCGATTACGAGCAAAAGGCAGTTTTGAACCAGGTTGAGCAGAGAACCGGACATCCACCAACTGCACGAACAGCTGCCTTTGAAGCTTTTGCATCGAATTGCTGAGCAACCTAAGACCCACGCATGCAATACCGAATCAAATGAATGCTGCCTACCAAACTGTAAGGGGCGGGTAGCGTATTTACATTCTATACCATTATACAGATGTATGCCATTCTATACCGTAGTATGATTTGTTTATGTGAAACGCGCGTATGTTTACTCCAAATCATACCGGGTTACAAATGGGCATCACTCCTATTCCTTAGTAGGATATGAAGTTACAATACGCGCCTATTTCTACTCGAAATCATACCTCGATTGTCCGCGATACAGAGTTTTCGCAACAATATACAATGAAATGCAGATCGCCGCCACTCCATGTCATGTCAAAAATCCTGACCAATAAATAAACAAATGCGACGTACGTTTTCGTTATCAAAGCACTCTTTGATTGTTTTTTTTTTTTTGAAGACCCGATATAAACATCGTTGAAATCGCAATTTCAGATAGAACCAAATATGAATGTCTAAAGAATATTATACACAAAGAGGATGTAATTGAAAGTTATAGTTACGTTAGTTGCAATGACTAGTAGTGTTATAAGAAGCAATTAGGATCATCATAAAGATAAGACAAATAGTGAATAGTGCGTGATAATTGGATTCGCAATTTTGGCGTTGGCACCACAAAAAACTGGATTGTTCGATATACTCACCCATCACTGCAAAAGTTTGTGTACAAGAAAGTTTTTAAGTGTCATCACAGTAGCAGAATTTAAAAATTGTCCCACTTGAATAAGGAACAAAGGATGTGATGTCATAATTCAGCAGGAATTCAGGCTGGTAGGCCATTAAGATTCGAAGGCGGTGTTTGAGCAATCTGGAAGCGAATAATGGATTGAATCAGAGTAACCAAAATTACTTTTTATACTACCTATACAACAGTTTAAGTCTTGCTTTCTGTAACATTGTAATGTTACCTTGTTAGCTTGTTATTCTAAATAGCCGATAGAAAATAAAGAAAAATTACTTAAATTGATTGAGTACAGAGAAGTTATTAATTTGGTATCGTGGTATGCTTTGGACTAGAAATAGGCGCGTATTGTAACTTCATATCCTACTATGTTATAGATTGACGTCCATCTGTATCGCGGTATGATTTGGAGTACCTAAACATACGTGCGTTTCACACATACAAATCGTACTACGGTATAGAATGGAATCCATCTGTATAATGGTAGGTATAAATCGTAAATACGCGGGCGGGTACTTCACGAGCAAACTCACCGACTTGAAAGAGTGGCAGCACGTCCCTCAAGATTACCAGCATCGCTAAGGACAGGTGCTTTAATAGTCGCAGCACCCCCATATGAGACGATAACAATTCTCACGCCTCATGGATGAGAGCTCATCACCATGGGCGCCGCCAGCCAGCGGGACAGGGGGGGGGGGGGGGGCAAGGCACGGGGGGGTCCTGTCCCCGTACGCATTTATATTCCGTACATGTATATGGCACCTAGCACAATCCCATTGGTCAGATTTAAAATGTAAACCAATTAAACTTCGAGTGCCATACGCGCGTACGGAATGTAAATCAGTGCCATATGCACTTACGGAATGTCATATACCTAATTATTGCAGCAGACAATTTTGTTAAGCTGAAAACGAGTTAAGCGTTAATTATTCTTCAACTATAGGTATCTATTTTACATTACATCACAAACATGCGGTGTATCAATCTAAGTTTCGGTGAGCAAAGAAAATATACAGTATCAGAGCGAGAGCGGAAAGCGTCAATATGTTTATTGAATGATATAACAAAACAAGAACACTTTATACAAAATCAGTGAACTAGAAGCACAGCCTAGAAGTGCCAAATACGCTATTTTTATAAAGCATTAAATCAACAACATTCTAGAAGTTGATGGTCATGGTGAATTTGTTAAAGACACAAATTCTTCCACCTATCTTCTAGCGTCATTTTCAGTCATTAGGTTTGCTCTATATTTTCCAGAACTCTGTTCAAAATATTTATAATTCAAAGGTAGCAACGTTGTCGCAGCATGCATGGCGATTTCAAACACCGAAATAACTACAAGAGATTTGATTAAAATAATGTCGGCGAAGCAATAACTGCCAATTTCTTGTTCGAAACATTTTTGAGAAAATCGAAAGATAGGACGGAACGCCGAACTTACTTCTATGACCTACCTATAAGCCCGACAATCACAAAAATAAAACAGGATATTTGGCCGCTGGAGACATGATTTTGCCTGTGCATAACGCATAACTAGGTAGGGTTGACAAACTATCGAAAAAAAAACTATCGATAGTAATATCGATAGAATGGCCTACCCATCGATAGTAACTATCGATTGTACTATCGATAGTTTGCTCTGACCAAAGTAACCAAATTTGTAATTAATTACGATAAACATTAACCTCCAACCTCCATCAAGTCCATCAAAGTCACTCGTCATTCTTCCTAACCGAAAAATTGGCAGCACAGCATGTCTATCCCCAAAAATAATTACAGATTTCTCAAAAAAACTACAGATTTCTTTATAATTCTCTCAATATACAGATGTTTTCATTTACCTTTGGCTACATTGGAACTATCGATATTGGTACAGGTCTATCGATACTATCGAAAATTAAAAAACTATCGATAGTATCGATATTCCTATCGATAGTTTGTTATCCCTATAACTAGGTATATTACAATCCGTAAGTGCATATGGCACTGATTTAAATTCCGTACATGCGTATGGCACTGAAGTTTAATTGGTTATTAAATTTTAAATCTAACCAATGCGATTGTGCTAGGTGCCATATACATTTACGGAATGAATAAATGCTCCCCGTACATACGCTACCGGTGTACATTTTCGCAAGTGTGAAGGTCATTTTTTATGTATGTATAAAATGTATGCTCTTTTGTGGATTTCTATTGAGTTTTAATGTTCTATATTTTATTTAAAAAAAAAATTGAGAAAATTTTTGGATTAATTTTCTCTGCTATTCCATCCACAGACGCGTTTTGACCTATCAGGTCTCGTCAGTATGGCTAGGAAAGCAAAGAAAACTAATCCAAGTTTAGTGCCTGTAGGCAAAATAGTGGATAATAGGAGAAAACTTATTTTCCCTATTCTGGGTTTTCCCAACTATCTGATTTTTGGTCGGCCTATTAGATGGTCATCACTAAATACAGCAAAAGTGCTATTTAGTGTTGAATCCTAGTCTTAGATAGAGCCACAATCAAATTTCGCTCGTCGTACTATTTTATAATAAATAAATATATTTTGATTTTGCTGTATAATTCAACTTTCTAAATCCAGGGGGGGGGGGCAAATGCCCGATTTGCCCCCCCCCCCCTGCCGGCGCCCATGCTCATCACTAATCAGTGGCGTATTCACGATTTTTATCTGGGGGGGGGGGGGGGGGGCAACGTAACAATAAAAAAAATGATAGTTGACAAGTGCGCAAAGTGATACTTTACCGCACGAAAAAGCAGTTAGACGAACGACGCGAAGCGGAGTTCGGATAAGCTTTAATAAGTGCGGGAAAGACACCTTGCGCAAGCGGTAGGAATAATACTTTTTCTACGGAGTATCTTAAAGAAAGTTGTGAATTTAGTATAGAGCACTGTTTTTGTTTTACATACAAGCAATCGCGTATTTACCATACCGGGGCGGTAGGGCTGCCAGGGGCGGCACAAGCCGCGTCCCCAGCACTTAGGAATGCTGTCTTAAAAACAAGGCAACAAAATGATTTTGAGGCAAGTCAACATATTATTTAATAAGGAAAATAATTTGAAGGAAGCATTTTCTCATAAAGAAATAGTACGTATGATTCTATGCACTGCAGTAAAATTTGACCAGTGTTTATTTGTTAAAATCTTTTTTCGTGCGCATGAGCAGAACTTTTCATGACGTCAGAAAGGGTTTTGTCTGAATGTAGTCCCGTTTTAAAAAAACAATGTAGAGAAAAGTAGGAAGTATAGGGAACGCAGAAAGAAAAGAAAAGCACATCAAGACTAAGCAAGCAAAATCCCACACAGCAAAAACACATCCATTGTATATACAATGTACATTGTACAACGGATATGTATATGCATTTAGGAACATTTGGATGTTCTATGGACGTAAGGTGTACATAAAAAAAATATACATTTCATATACTTTTGTCGCCAACAATGACTCCATTTTCACATCCATAGAATATAGATATGCATATTCATAAGACATACATTAAATATGCATGTATATATAATATGCATTTCACGTAAATACATCAAACATACATTATATATACCCACTGTAGATACATGTGTATGTATACACATACTCAGCTTGTGCGATGTATATGCATAAAATGCCTATGAAATATACAAAATATACAATGTATACTTAATGGAGGTCTCATGGATGTGCAAATGTACATTTTATGGATGTCGATATGAATATACATATATGTACAACCTAGTATACTAGGTCTGTTTCTGCAGAAATCACAAACCAGTCGTTGGTTGAAAGAAGTCAGAAAACTATAGTCCCCAGTACATCGACCTTAAAATTTTGTAACTCATGTACACGCCCAACTTCCTGAGCGGCTTTATAACACCAAGTCGGACAATATTTTTCATAACTCCACCCTGGGTGATGGGACATTGCCGCGCTAGCTCTTCGTGAAGTTGTCGTTCTGACGTCTCTAAGGAAGTTGATACATGTTCGTGTAGTTTCAATGCCAATCGACTGTTTTTTACATTACTTTAACGATATCACATTTGTCGGACAAAAATCACGTGGCTTCGGGAAAGTCCGACGCTCTCATATGTCGCTGTGGCGTCCCTAAGGAAGTTGATACATGCACGTGTGTTTTTAATACCAATCGATAGTTTTTTACACACTTGAAACAGAGCTACTCGCTCCGGTGTTAGTCGACCCCGATTTGAAAGGAACAGATGCGCTGGCTTTCATGCACTTAAATGGTTTGAGTCGGGCTTGAGCACAGTTTATTGGGTGCAACAAACACCTTTCGAAAGGAACAAGCCCGTAACGCCCCGGAGCTATTCCGGAGCTCCTCCTAGGTGTGAAAGGAATACAACTAATGACGTCGCCAATGGTGCTGCACCATATGACCGCGATTACCAAAAACTACAGTGACCAAAAACGAGGCCGATAAGCATTCCTGTGTAGTGTCGTAAGGGTGAATTCGAAAAATCGAGGCCGATAAGCGATTCTTTGTAATATGACGATAACAGAATGTCACCGTTGTAGATCCCCGTGGTCGTCACATACCAGTCGTACCCTGTACCAATGACATTTCACTAATGGACCGGCCCTGGCCAAGGTTGTTTAAAAGAGGGAGGTTGCCTGATAACTTTTATGACGTCATTTGTATGCCTCAACATAATTGCAAAACTTCATAAGTTACCCATTACCAGACAACCTATTAACTTTAGGAACCTTGGGCCCTGGCCATATTTTGGAACAGCGTTTGCTCGCAGCCAACATTAGAGAGAGAGAGTGATGGAGCTATTTGTGGCAAAAGCTCATATTTTTATCTATGGTTGAACCGGTTGAACCAAATCCAAGCGGCAGTACTGGTCATTTTCATTACAACCTGTCCTCCTTGCATGGGCACTGGTCCAGGTAGGCTCTAAAGTTGACACACAAACGTTGACAAAAGCAACCAAACAAGCACGTCCCTGTACTTCTTGTACCCAAAGTTCCTAAAGTAGTAAAAGGTTTTCTGGTAAGGGGTAATTTGACGACGTCATCTGAGGTGCCTCATGGAGATTTGCATTACAAATCGAATGGCAACATTGGCAACGTTTCGTTTTATTGCGTTCCATCGTAGTTCCATGAACGCCGCGCCCCAGTACAGCGCCCCAGGAGTGACATGCGCAATCGCATGGAAACCATGGCGTGCCTTTACTTCTCACTCTTACTCAAGTCAGTCAAGTCTTGTCGGCCTTGTCTAAAAAAAACAAACGTCGAAATCGATCCCGTCCTCGTCGAGTCGACGTCGTCCATTTTGTCGTCGTCGTTTGTTTGTTGGCGTGGTAGTTTTGCAGCCGGCATTAAAAAGTGATTTTCCTTGCTAAACTACTTATTTTAAACACCAATCGTAAGTAGATTTTTTTGTATTCACTATTATTGTGTCAATTATGATAAAATTCGTGCCAAAATAGCGCATTTCCACGATCTTTCAGGAGTTTCACATTTTTTGATTTTTATCCTATGTATTCCCTATTTTTTTGAATATATATCGCCCCTTTGATTAAAAGCCCCCTACTGGGACTCTACCCTCGCACTAAAACGGTTTGCTAATAAATATATTAGGAAATATGAGTTTTTGTTGAGAAAAACCTAGTAAATAGGTGAGGCGTCATCAACATAATGATGGCATGGCGTCTGGGCGGTGTAAAATCACGGTTTAGTAATAACGGTTCGCCATTCAAATTCCATTTCACATATTCTTGATCACATCACAGCAATCGTTACATTATTATTATAGTAATGTATGTGAAGCCAGCTCCTAAAAATCAATATTTATATTAAATATTTTTGCAACTATTGTAATAAAAATCGAAGTTAAATAAACGAAAAGTCATGAACAAAACAAACACTATAGGGTTCTGCCTAAAGCTGGATTTATAGTGTCAGTATCAGTAACAGTAACAGTAAAGCTGGATTTATAACTTTCGTAACGTAGGCAGTAAGCAGTAAGAAGTAAGGATGTATGCTGTAAGTAGTATCAGTAAAAACATCTTGATTTATAGCTGAATTTGCTGTGACAGTAAAAACTTACGCGTACGCAATATAATTTTATTTGAACCAATAGAAATAGGTAATAATATCTATTAATAGGCTTTCAATTTCACTCATTTTTAACCGAAAACTAATATTGAGCTCAATCACCAATGCTCAAAACTTGTCTAAGGCCCAAAACTTAGACAAGGAAAGAGAGGGGACTCGTAACACAGCAGGTGAAAATGAAGCAGTTTGCCACCAAAAAATGTCTGCTTTTTTCATAACATAACCTAGAAAGCATATTGCTTTTCGACTTTTTTTTCTCTGCGGGTTTTGCAGCCATAAGCTAGCAATCCACCATGCTGAATATCACAAAAATGTTAGTCTGAAGTAAAATTCACATAGTGGCACCATGAAAAATTGTCTCCATTATTTGGAGGCAAACGGTCACAACCAGCTGCTAGTGCAGGTAAAGGATGTTACGCGTCCTCTCTCTTTCCTTGTCTAAGGCCCAAAACAATTCCAGGGGTGCGATTTTCGAAACCATTCGAGTACTCGAATGGTTTCGAAAATCGCACCCCTGAACCTCACTTTTTAAAACCAAAATAAAAACAACGCCAGCGGCCATTGCCCTCTGGGGGAGTGACAAGCGTTACTTTTTAACACGAGAACCGACGATTGCGTCCGAATCCGTATCAGTAACCGTAAGAAATAAAAATGAACCATTTCATACTGCTTACGGCTTACTGCTTACTTGTTACTGAAAGACTATAACCAGGAGCATGTATTTGCTATAAGTTCATTTTTCTTACGTCTTACGGATACTGCTTACTGCAGGGAAGAGCTCTGAGTTGGCTGACCTCATACTTATCAGATCGCTGGCAATGTGTGGAAATTCATAGGAACAATAACTCATCTAGATCAGGATGGCTGCAAAATCAGGTGGGAGTACCCCAGGGGAGCCTACTAGGGCCGATACTATTCCTGGTCATGATAAACGATCTGAGTTCAGTGTGCAGCGGATTGGAAGAGTCTGCAATAACAAATTATGCGGATGACACCAATCTGCTGGTCGCCGGAGTAGATCGGCATGACTTGGAAGAAAAAAGCAATGAGCTATATTCTCGAGCAGAGGATTGGTTTGAGAAAAATGAACTAGTTATAAACGAGAGCAAGACAAGCATTGTGATTTTTCGCACTAATAAACTAAAAGAGAAACCATCAGCAATAAGTATCCATAATCAGGAAATTGACATATCAGAGCACACTAAATTTTTAGGTGTTATAATTGATGAATTTCTAAAATGGTCAACACACATTGAAAGTTTAGTGAAAAAATTGAACGGTGTTTGTTTTGCACTCAGAGTACTAAACAGATATGTAGAAGACAAAGTTAAAAAAATCCTTTACTATGCAAATTTTGAGTCTCGGATGAGGTACGGTATCATTTTCTGGGGAGTCAGTTCTTCAACACAATCAGTCTTTGTAGTCCAAAAGCGAACTATCAGGTTATTGCTTAACATGAGCTTCAGAGACTCCTGTAGAGGCAAATTCAGGGAGTTGGGTATTTTAACAGTTTATGGTCTATACATACACGAGTGCCTCTTATATTTGCATAAAAACAAAAATGAATTTTTAATACATAACACTAACACCACATACAATACAAGGACCACAGATATTTATTATCCTATTCATAGATTAACTTTAAGTGAAAAAAATCCATCTTATAACTGTATTAAAATATTTAATAAATTACCAAACGACTTCAAAATAATAGAAAACTACAAGGAATTTAAAAATAAAACCAAGAAATTGTTAATAGACATAGAACCATATTGTGTGAAAGATTACTTGGATATGTAATTTAAGTATATTGTTTTGTGACGCCATTTCATTTCATGTTATTTTGTAATGCTGTAATATGTATTGTAAAAACTTAATTTGAAATAAAGCTACTATTCTATTCTATTCTATTCTATTCTATTCTACTGCTTACGTTACAGAAGTTATAAATCCAGCTTAAAACTTAAAACTTAAGAACAGATATGAAAATAACCATTTCTTAAGTTTTACTGTTAAAGGTGGGTTTAGCCAACTCTTAATGGATAATGCACAATTTTAATTCATAATTGATAATGCATAATTCATAACGTGTAATGCATAAGAGAAAGGTGGTGTTTATACAACGCATAAAGCCTAGTTCTCATGATGCGGAATTCCGGATTGCGGGTGCGGAATTTTTGAAATAATTCCGTTGGCGGGAAAACGTCAACTTTTTTGCGGATCCGCAATAAAGTTGAACCATTTTCAACTTTCTTGCGATTTTTTTTTCTGTCTTTTTCTAAACATTTCTCATCTTTGTTTGATTTCTACATAAACAAATGAACTAACCTCAAACAAAAAACAATCAATACCTAACAAAAATAAATTGATCTGCTTGCTTGTGTGCTTGTTTTATTTTCAAATACATATTATTATGGCAAACCCCTTGTTCATGCCTTTTCAGAAGAATATTTCTGAACAACATCTTCCTTTTTTTAATATTCCTCTGCTATTCTGCTTCTTTGATGAAGTTTCATGCATATTATGGATTAATAGCAAACCCAATACTAACATATATTGGGTGGTAGTCTGAATAAAAACGAAGTACTTGCTACTACTACAGGTAGTAGTATATTCTACGAAGTATTTAATTCACAACAAAGGATTTACTAATTTCCGGTAGTTTCGAAATGTAGTATCTACTTCATTTTAAAGAAAACACTACGAAGAATATACTAGTACTTGTCGTAGTAGCAGATATAGTGAATGCAACAATATACCGTTGATCTTCTGACTGCAATAATACCTTCAACAATGCCTATACAATAGGGTCTAATCCAGGTAGTTAATTTATTGCAATAAGAGTCAGCGGTATATTGTTGCACCTACTATACTTTGTTTTTTTTCATACCTCCCTCTGTCTTTTCCATTGATAATAATTTAATTGTGCAATATAATTATCCATCCAGGCACACAGGAAAACAAAAACAAAAAATATGTTAGGTTAAGATCACATGTATTTGACATAAAACCGCATCCGGAATTCCGTTTCATGTGAACCATCAAAAATTACGATTTTCAAAAAACTGCGATTTCCGGACCCGCAATGCGGAATCCCGCACCATGAGAACTAGGCTTAACTTTTGTGAATTAAGAATTAACAAGACAGCTGAGTTTGACATTTGTTATTTTTCATGATATAATAAATAATGAAATAAATAATAAATTAGGCTTTATATTATCAGGAAAAATCTCATTTGTATAATTAAAATCGGAAAAACTCGATTCCGGATCAAAAAACATTGAAAACAACAGGAAAACACACAACCAGATTTCGAGGTTATGAAGCAAAACAAAAACAAACTTGGAAATATACGCTTGCGCTCTAGCGTTTTTTGCACAATACATAATCGATAATTCGTAAAAGTTAAAAGTTGGTCAACTTTATGAATTACGTATTATGCACTAAATTATCCACTATCCACTATGCATTGTATATAAACGGGTGTGTGTATTTAAATGTGAACTTTTAAAAATTATCGATTATGAATTAAAATTGTGCATTATGCATTATTAGTTGGCTAAACCCACCTTAAGTTTGTTAAGTGAATTATAAATGGCTTTACGGTAGGCCGTGTTTTAATATTTTACTGTTACTGCTGCTACTGTTACTGATACTGACACTATAAATCCAGCTTTAGGGTTCTGCAAATACAAGGTTCCTGCCTATTGCCTGGTAATTGGTAACCTGATGATGCATGGGTGCGGGGTGCATAGACATTTGCATTATGTTTGTTGAGGCACCCCAGATGACGTCATAAAGTTATCAGGCAACCTACCTCTCTCAAACAACCTTGCTGCAAATACTGCAATGGACTGTCAGAAACGAAATAAATATGGCTGGGATAAAAAAACAGAGATAACCTGCATCCTTGCCTATGGAAATTTGATGTCTCTGCTGTCATGTTATACTTGAGTCTGTAAATTAAAACACTGAGTAACTTTCATATTTTTCAAAAACTTATTTAAGTTATTGTGTTAGTCATTCTAATCTAAATTCTAAACATCTGTAAGTACCTATACTTTCTAATCTATACTCGAATCTATACTTTCTAAATAAAATGATTTGAGATTCGAATTTCGAAAGTGGCCTTTCAATACGGTACTTGTATCAATTTTTTTATCGCTGATTTTGTTGGTCGGTGAAAAATAAGTCATGTTTTTTCTTTTTCTTAGTTAAAAATTGATGGAGATACAACGCTATGAAATGTGCCTATGACATCATAAATCATATAAATTTATGATGTCGCACATGCTCAGTATATCTATATATACAAAACCTTATATTTATATAACTTTCGAAATAATCATATTTGGACAAAATAAAAAAATATGTATCGATTTTTTTTCAAATTCCTACAGTTTGCAGGAAACAATAATCAATTTTTCATGCAAGGTCCCTATTGTTGGTAACCCGAATACACAGGGAGTATTAAAATCAATCACCTGGAATTCAATGCACTCAGTTCCCTCATTTCTGGTGAAACATTAAGGCTTGTCTGAACAATAGGGAGGTACGACATTTTTTTCAATTCTTTTATTTAGTCTCGCGTACAGGTACGTTTTTTATTCTGCACCGATCGTTGAATTTTAACTGGTCGCAAAAACGCAAATATTAATATTTTGCGCCCAGATTTTTTTAAATTGTTTTTTAATAACAAAATCTCTCGATTTTAGTTAAAATAAAAAAATGTCAAACCTGCCTATTGAAGGACTATTATTGCCATTGTAGTTCCTCACCTTTATTGGGTGGAGGCCTCTTGAGAAATGAAATAATTTCGTTTTCAGGAGCTAGGACCGTATAAATTTTTATTAGTGGGATTCTGAAAATGAAATTTAGAGTATGGAGGGTCAGTTTGACCAATAAAACACTTTTCAATGCAACAATATATTTTTTCTAATTTTGACATTTAAAGTGACACTTTTCAAAACTCGTTGACATTATCAAATGCCTTACTTTTCATCACCAGTTACGAAAAGTAAAATTTTTCGCAACTGGTGATCAAAAGTAAATTTGACCATTAGTTAGTAAATTCGTTCCATAATATGACAATGTATGGAAAAAAACTAGTTAGTTAAAAATATTAATACTTAACACAATTTGAACAATTATTGATGATATTGACAACATAATTTTCTGTGTAGCATTAATTAAATGAATAAATTGAATGTATTCTCCAATTCCATGGAAGTCTCACCAACTTTGGTGACAATTTCCTGTTTATTATAGTTATCAAATTCTCCACATAGCCCTTAGCGGCTGTATTAAACTTCCCATGCTATTTAATTCTCAGCAAATCAGCCACAGAATCTACAAGCAGAGTAGGTAGTTGATGATAGCCGAAAGCAATGACCGGTTTTTTTTTTTTTTGATTGATACTTTATTGATAACTTGAAATGAACAAAGAATATGCAATATAAAATATATAAATAACAGTAACAGTTTTGAATCACCAAACTTACTGAACAATACTGACGATTTAGGAAATAATTAAAGGAGGGTTATTTTTCATGCTTCTGAATCGAATTTGAATGGATCAGATCATAAAATACAAAATTAGAAAAAATATTGTGTGAAACACGTTGGGAAACACTATTTTTCGTAACTCGCTTCCTTTTGCCGGAACTCGCTACGCTCGTTCCGCAGAAATCTGCTCGTTACGAAAAATAGTGCTTTTCCCAACTGGTTGCACAAATAACTATTTTTTTAAATTTCATAATGTGAATAAAATTGTCTGTTACAATGTTAATTTGTTTTTTGTTTGCAGAAACAATACAAAAATGAGCGAAGACGCAGAAAGATCCAGGGACCGTGCCCGACGTGAAAGACCTAACAGAAATTCCGAATCTGTCAGGGATCGTAGTGTTGACAGAGGCAGGGAACGTGGAAGCGCCAGGTCATCAACAAATAGAGTGTTTGTATCTAATATTCCTTATGAATTTCGTTGGCAAGATATGAAAGATCTTTTCCGTGAAAATGTCGGTGATGTTGCATTTGTTGAGATGTTCCTCGATGACAATGATAAACCCAAAGGTTGTGGTATTATCGAGTTTGATGACCCGTCTTCAGTCAAAAAATGTATTGAAGTTATGCAAAGATATGAGGTTAAAGGCCGTAAGCTTGTGATTAAGGAAGATAGTGGTAATGTCAGGAACAAGAATGGCAACATTGTTGGACGAGGTCAGGATAGAAAGTCACGTAGGGATGAAGGACCTCGTTTTAGGGATGATGGTGGTCGTAACAACAATCAGGTTAATTTGTCGGCTCTCGGAAATGATCTCAAGTGGGACAACACATACGGTTTGAGTGCTCAATTCCTTGAATCTCTACATATCGATCCTCCCCTTTGTAACAAGGTTTTTGTCGCTAATGTGAGTATTGTCTAACTATTTTGAAGATTTTGATTAATTAGTATTGTTGGTTGGCCTTAGTCCAATGGTATGGTGTCTTGAATTTGTAAAGATGCAGCACAGAGAATCCGATAATATAAAAATGGTTTTTTTTTGGAACAATGAAATAAGTAACTGGTTTTTTCGATTTTTCTTTGTGCAATTTGAATAACTTTCTTTACATAAAACTTGGATTCCTATGAAACGGCCTACCAGTAATCACTAAAGTGGGGGCACAGGCACCAATATAATTTGCAGAATAAGATTCCACATGGCTACATGCTTCAAGAAGTTTGTGTATGAAATATATTATTGTTTTGATTTGAATATTGCTTATGGCCTTCTCGAAACCATTGCATGTTTGTAAAATATCAGCAAAAAAGAATTGTAAAAATTTTACAATTGAAATTTATTTATTTTGTCCTAGCATTGGTTTTCTGTACACAAAAGGGGATAGTTTCACAGTTTTTGATTAAAGCAGTTAGGTCGATTTAAATTTTCTTGTGAATAAAATTAATATTGTGAAACTTATTTAATATTTTTCAAATTGATAGTTGCAAATTGACATTTGTTTTGAGATTTGGGAGTTATAAAACCTGCACCTTATCAAAAAGTGCATGTTCTGTTTCACAAGGTTTGATGTTGATTTTTATTAAGCGATGAGAAGAAGCGAACTGAGGTAGCGTTTTATTATGATGTATTGGATGGTATTATTAATTGTATAATTTTTTTGATAATTAAATTGTTTTTATGCGTATTAATATTCTATGCTAAAAGGTTGAATAATTTTTGGCTAGGAATTCGAGTAGGAATTGTGTTATTTGTATCCAAAACAGTCTAGCCTCTCCTATTTTGTAGGATATTCCTAGATGAGAGGAGAAAAAAAATGAACTGAACATTTTGTATCGATTGAGTATAATTTTTTACAAATTGGCACAATTTGCCAAGCTGGGTTGATTTAAATTTTCTTGCTAATAAAATTAATAAATCGGCGCAATGACACCAATATTAGGAACTTACGGAACTATGTGTCAATAGCTTTAAATTGCATTTTGTTTTGACATTTTTGTCTGTTATAAAATCTGGCTGCACCCCTCGACCTTATCCAGAAGTCTCATGTTCTGTTTTGGGGTTTGACATTGACTGAGCAATGAGCGCGGAACTGGCAATCCCATGGCATTATTTAATGTTAAATTTTTTTTGATAACGAGGTTGGTTTAATGGACTAATAATGTAAACTAAAAGGTTGAATAGTTGTTTGCTAGAATTGTACTTTGTATTCAAAAGACTCTCGCCTCAGCTGTTTCGTAGGATTTGCCTAGATGAGGAAAGAGGAATTAAGTAAAAAAAAATTTTTCTGTCAAAATGAGGCGAAATTTGTTCAGCAATGATTTATTAAATAATACAATTTCTGCACTACTTTTGATTGGTTTTATTCTGCAACTTATATCTATTTTATATTTGTTGGTGTACGAATTTAGTTGTATTATCTGCAGTGGGCTTTGCAAAGTTTTTGAAATAAGAAGCTGGTGATAATGGTATCTTTTTTATATGTAATTTTACGAAGGAACTAACATGGGTCTCTTCATTTGATCTTTGTAAATATTATAAATTGGTATTTCGTCATAAAAAAACCAGCAGGTATTTGGTTGCTTCTGGAATCCTAAACAGTGGTTTTATATGCCAAAACAGTGATAATATACCTATCAGATTTTTGTTTTATTGGAAAATAATTTTTACGTACCAGCATTTCTTGGGTGCCACTTGAATGCAAATCAGAGGTAACATATTTAATGGCTCGTAAGCATTCATCAGATAGCGGCGTCCTGTAAATGCGATTGTTCTGTCGAGTGAAATTTAATTTTTATCTGTTTGGGTTTTGTATTCTTTCATTTATATGCCAATATCAGGATTTTTCAAAACTTTATATTTAATGGTTTTGCAACTGTCTACATGAATAATTATATATTCTAGCTTGACTATACTGTCGAAAAGAAAAAGTTGAAAGAAATATTCAGACTGGCTGGTAGAATCGTAAAAGTTGACATGTCATTGGACAAAGACGGCAAAAGCAGAGGTTTTGCTGTTATAGAATATGACCACCCTGTAGAAGCTGTACAGGCTATCTCCATGTTCCACAATCAGGTAATTTTCTATTATTTTATGAAACGAGACTTATTAATTGAAACTTGAAAATCCTTAGTTCTTGTATGACAGACAAATGACTGTCCGTATGGATCGAGTGAGTGACCACCTTAAATTACCAGAAGGATTAAAATCTGTGGGAATGGGTTTGGGCCAAAATGGGGAACCTTTGAAAAATGTTGCGCATAATTTGCCCAACAACTCTGTCGGTTCTGGTCTGTCAGTTGGTGGAGGCCTTCTTGGTTCAGTACCAGGCGCCAACGCTTTACAGGTAAGTAAATTTATTGACTTATTTTGAACTGTTTTGACACAAATAATTTTCTTAGGTTGCCAGTGCATTGAGTGGGCTTGGCGGTGTTGGCTTGAATTCTCTGACTGCAGCTGGACTTACTTCAAACTTGCTGCAAAATGGATTATCTGGAGGAGCAGACATTTCTTCTCTGGTTAACCAGAACCAGAACCTTTTGAATCAATCTGCTTTACAACAAAATTCAGGTGAGCACTGAGCAGTCTGGTGAAAATGACAATAATATAATTTTCTAGTGGGTAATTAGTAGACACTAGTCTGGTATTTTATTTTAGTAGATTTTTGTAAATCTCATTAAGTACAGCGGAAGCTGCTTAAAAGGGCAATCAAGTGACATAATTTGAGGAATAACCTTCACTGTGTGTGAGTGGCCCAAATTCGAGCCTCATCATTGGGATCTTGGTAACCATAAGAGATACGGAGTCCGTTAAATTATGACAAAGTGGCGCAATTTTATGACCAAAAGAATGCCGTTTTGAAACTAGAAAAATTCCGAATACTTCCGGAGATATTCGGAAAAAAACTGAAATTTTGTAAAATCGTTTTTATTTTTTCCCGGGCTTATTTGAAAAGCAATTTTAAAATAAATGCCACTTCATCATTGTCACTTTTTGCCCTTTAGAAGATGGTGCTACTAAGTATAAAATTCGACATTTCGTCTTCAGGCAGCCATCCTCAACTTACGTTTTTTAAATGCGGACCGTCATTGTGCGGACCTAGATTTTTTATTTGTGATTTTGTCATTTTTGGGCATCCTAAAACTGATACTGTTTATAATTTTTCGATAAGCAGGTCCGTATTAAAAAAAAAAAAAATTGATGGTGATTCCAGAGGAACGAAACGTTGGATTTCAAATTTAATACCGCCATTTTGTAGAGAAGAAAAAGTGACAATAGGAATGTGAAATTAGTTTTTCAAAATATTTTTAAATGGAATCAGGAAAAAATTTAAGAAAAACGAGAAATTCGGGTTTTTTTCGTATAGTTTTAATTTTTTCCTGATTTTATTTAAACAGGTTCGCGGACAATTTCTAAAAGTATGTTGTGCTTAGAATGTCAATTTCTGTATTTCCATGTTTGGTGTGGTTTTTTCGCCATGAACTGGGCCGGTATTCTGGTTCTCAAAAACGCTAACCGCTTTCTAGTCGCTCGGCACTTTAAATATACATTTACATTAGAAGTGCCGAGCGACTAAAAAGCTGTGAGCGTTTTCGAGAACGAGAATACCGGCCCTGGACAATTTTGAGGTGAATAGACACTGTGGCAGGACTAATAAATTGAAAATACGTGTAGCTATTTTTTTTATTTTTTTTATTTATTTCGTTTATTTAGCAATAGCTAATCGTGCAACTTACATATATATAAATTCACAAAAGTTATAATTAGTGTATAGTGTCAATTAAAGTAAACAATTTAAATTTAAATTCAAAATACAAATGACAATCGTTCCGAAAGACACAATAAATCTTGAAATTTCGTAAAAAGCAAGTCCTGAAACTCATACAAAATATGGCATTCGTTTTTCACTTCACAAAATACAAGATCAAGATACCGCAAAACAAAAGAAATTCAAATCAACAAAACTCAGATCAACAAGAATAAGCTACTCATTTGTGCTTTAATCTGGAACATATATATCACATTGAGTCAGCAGATGAACTTTTAATTTTCTTTTGAAATTGCTAATAGTAATATATATATAGGATATAGGATCTAAGACGGCTAGAGCTGTTATTTGTTTATAGAAGAGAATTGGGGTGACTGCTATAGACGTCATGTCCCAGGCAAGGCAGAAGAATATGACGCCTTTGCCGTACTGTCCGCGAACGTGTTAAAAAGATTGTGAAAAACTAATTTTACGTTCCCATTGTCACTTTTTCTACTCTATGAGATGGCGGTATTAAATTTAAAATCCAACGTTTCGTTCCTCTGAAATCATCAATTTATTTTTTTTTAAATACGGACCTGCTCTTTTTACTGTGTTATTGCAAAATTATAAACAGTATCGGTTTTAGGATGCCCAAAGATGACAAAATCGCAAATAAAAAATCCAGTTCCGTATTTAAAAAAAGGAAGTTGAGGATGGCCGCCTGAAGACGAAACGTCGAATTTTAAATTTAGTAGCACCATCTTCTAAAGAGGAAAAAGTGACATTTATTTTAAAATTGCTCTTCAAATAAGCCCAGAAAAAAATAAAAATAATTTTACAAAATTTCAGTTTTTTCCGAATATCTCCGGAAGTATTCGGAATCTTTCTAGTTTCAAAACGGCATTCTATTGGTCATAAAATTGCGCAACTTTGCCATAAATTAACCGACCCTGTATCTCTTACGGTTACCGAGATTCCAATGATGAGGCTCGAATTTGGGCCACCCTGTACATTTAATTTTCAAACAATATTGTGAGTTTATCCTGCAAACTTATAAAAACTGTCTTCAAGTATGTTTCTTAATTCTTCCGCCTGTTCTGCAGTTTTCATTTGCAGCATTGGCGCATTTATTAGTTTTCTTACATTATCTTTTTTAAGATATTACGAGCATTTTGTATAAAATGGGCCACTTTCACGTGCCGGGAATATGGCAAATTAAGTATGATATTTTTTGACTCAGATACATCAATGCAACCGAGAATGAACAATATTTTGCAAGATTTTAGTCAGATTATTAAATAAATTAATAAATAAAAACTAAAAATTTAAACGAAAAGTCACGTGATTGGAAACGCCCTCTGATTGGCTAAAGCCGATTTTGACGTTTTTGTTGCCACATGTAGAAATGCGTTAATAAGGATTATACTTATCCTTTATTTTTTTATAATGTAGTAAAGGACGAAAATAGTTTCTAGCCAGTGAAATGTGTAATGATTTACTAATGAGAAATTTGGCATCCTCGCATTTTTGTTGATTTTCTGGTTTGTGACGTCACAAACCAAGTTTGCGTTTTCACGCCAGTTTAAAAATTCGATTTTTAAATTATATTTTTTTTTTCAAAAATAGGCGATTTTTTTCGGAAAAAAAATATGCAGATAGTATTAGAATGACTAAAAGAATAATTTAAATACGTTTTTCAAAAATGTGAAAGTGGCCCATTGTGAAGTCAGTGGTTACCCAAATGCCCAGTATATTTGAGAAAACTGATCTTTTCATTTCAATTTTCACACAAATATCTACTCAAGAATTAGGCTCCTTTTTCAATATAACTTATTACTATTTAGACTAGTAATTATGTTTTATACTTTTATTTGGCATTTAAAAAGGATTATACATACAGTCAAACAAACCACAGTGCATTTGACACTATTGACAGCTCTTTTCCAATTTCATAATTTTTTCTGTTATGGATTGGATAAGTAATAGATCACTCCAAAATGGAGAAGATAAGGAATTTTCTTTTATTAACAAAGTTTATCCAAGAATTAGACCTTGCACTAAAATTTACTATTGTCATTATGCATATTTTTTTCATCTTTAGGATCCTCTAACATGGGTTCTCTTGGTAATTCAGCATCTGGGCTAAATTCGGGACTATCCTCGGGATTAGCATTGGGTAATTCCTCTGCAAGTGCTAATCAAGGATCATACAATCGTTCCACAAATGACGGATATAATCCTAATGCTCCAGTAACATATCCTACCAATTATGGAACTGCTGCTAGGTAAGATTGCCTTGAAGATTTTATTAGTAATACTTTGAGCTTCTAGAACGATAATTTTTTGAGGTGTTTTTTTTATGTGAGTCATTTTAATATACAGTTGAATCTTGAATCTCTACTGCCTGGCAGGGATACTATTTCAATACTTGGCTTATTGCGTTCAAAAACAACCTAATGCACCAGTCATAAGTTAAATAAACAGATAAATAATCTAGTCTCATGTCTTGAGAAGGCAGAATGCTTTGCGCTTCTATGACCTCTAAGATTGAAATTATTTAAATTTTGTAATGATTAGGCTTAAACTTCAGTTAAAAGAATAACTTTGAGTTATTAGAAGTTCAACTGTATGTAAGACACCTAACAACATTGTTCTGAAAATTTAATGTCAACTGATTTCTTTATTGTTTTCTTTAGACAAAATTGGTCTAGTGGGAAATGGAACTAGACACTGCAGAGACGTTTCAAAACCCTAAAAATATTCATAATTTGTATTGTCCTAATCCTAAGGTGGTGTGAAAAATCCAAATAAATTGTTTTCCTTCTAAGTGAATAATATGATATGTGTAACTTCCTTTTTTTTGGTACCCTTTTCCAGTTTTATTATCAGCAAACTCTATTGTGTACTAATTTTTGTAAATACTGAATACGTGTCATGTACTCTCTATGGTTGCATGCTTCTTTTTGAACCTTAACTTTACCATTAATATAACTACTTAAGTTTTTTTTTGGTATAATATCTTTTTTTTTATGTAGAGAAAAATTGAATTTTTTTTCCATACTAGTTTGTATTGAGTGTTATTGGTTTTTGTACAGATATTTTCACAGTTTCAGGTGCTTAAGTGCGGTTGTGAGTGATACAGTATGTATGTAGTTGAGTTGGGTTTCTTGTTCATAACATTTTTCGTGCTCATCTGCTCCCATCCGCTTAGGGCAGAAGGTCGTTATTGGCAATTCTGATTTTTTTTTTTTTGCATTTGTCCGACCTTGTAAAACTTGTTAAAAGTTTTCAATGGTAGCTGAGTTTTGTTGTTTTCTAGTTTGAACTCATGTCATAGAAGCTACTTTGGTCTGGTTTATATCATTGTTACTAAATCAGAAAATTTCATTTTTTACCAGACATTTGACATTATCTCTGTTCAAATTGGAGTCACTTCAGCAGTGAACCACTTACCCTTGTGCACTCATGTTTATTGAAGAATACAAAAGATTAAATATGAATGCTGTCGCCTAGATATAAATAGCTAGGTCCAAATTTCGTCTGAATATCTCTTTAGCACTTGTTTTTTTGGTTTTGAGTCATACGCATGCCTAATCGACAAAACATTTATGTCGCAACATTAAGTGCATTTCTTATTGTCGTTACTTACCTCAATCCATACGCTTGTTCAGTCTGAGGGTAGAACATTGTCGAACGCCTTGGAGAAGTTTGTGTAGTGTTATGTACCTTCCTGACGCCCTCTCACCAAAGCCTCTACCAAACAAGTGTCCATACACAATCAGTTGAAAAGCCAGAAATAGGGCGAAACCGTTGATCAATCAACAAAACCTGAGTATCAGACTCGATGGACACAGACAATACTCGGAATAATTAAAAACTAAATACAACCATCCAGCCAAAACAAGGCTATACAATCAAGATTGATAATAATTTTTGTATCAAGATTTTGCATCACCATTAGGAACTGTACAATTATTAAATTATGTGTGGGGGATTTTCAAATTTTTTCATGCAGATTGAAAGAGTGCTAGATAGTTGAAATTTGAATAACGTCTAGTTGGAAAGAAATGAAATTTCCATAAAGTTTCTTTATTTTAAGATCTAATCTATCACTTTTAAAACTTAATGATTTTACTCTCGACACAGTATGTTCCTAATTTTGCTTAATATTTTGAATAGAATAAAGGCAAATTAATGTTATTACCAAATAATTATAGTTCTAGTTCTAAATCAGTTATTTTTTGAACTAAATAAATCGATTAATAATAATCATCATTATTTATAGGAGTTCTTACGGACAAATGGACATAAGAAACACAATGTTGAAATCCGGTGGCGTTGGAGGAAGCGGTGGAGGGGCAGGCGATTCTAAACACTTCAACTCGAGAAAAATCTTGGTATCAAATTTGCCGCCATCCGCCACATTTAAACTTCTCCAAGAAAAACTGAACGAATTTGGAGAATTGACCTATTTTGAAGAGAAAGGACCAGGCAGTTATCTGATTGTGTATGCCAATGAATGGCAGGCTGAGAAGGCAATCAAGAATTTGGACAAAGCAAGAATAGATGGCCGATACATTGAGGCTAGAGTTTATTACTAGGCTAATATGTTTTAGATTAAAAATGTATTTCGTATTTTAGTGCTAGTTTTAATTTAATCGTAGGTTTTAGTGTTTTGATTTATGTGACGGTGTTAGAGTGTATGAATTTTTGTTTTTAAAATATGTGTCACTTAATTATCAATAAAAAACCTATACAACATATTAATATTTATAATTTCATTTAATATTTAATATACACTCGTCCAAATTATCAACCTTAATGCAAAATAAGTCTGGCCTATTAACAGCAGTAATGGAAAAAGTTACATAATTGGTTTTTTGAACGTTTAGAGAGAGTTTAGATGTGTCATGCCAATTTTTAATTTTTAATATTCCAATATTTACATTATGTTCAACCTCAGGCCAAGAGTTACCGATGACCACTGATGTGTTGTTGGCAAATGATATAATGCCTCTGCAGAGCAAAAAGGGGCCAAGCTGTTATGGCGGTTGAAGAATGAATCCCAACTCACGTCGTGTAAAAAGGTGATAAGCGGCACACAGAAACTCATGTAGACAGGAAAAATTGCAGTTTTATTCAAGGTTTTCTCAGCAATCTTGTATTTCACACATGGTCCCTTCTTGCTCTACAGGGACGATAAGTAAAAAGGAGAATTGGATCGAGAAATGTACCTTTTGTGGTACCCCCATTTTTATTTTTTGTGGTTCACTTAGTGTTTCCCCAATTTTTAAAATTATTTATCAATAAGATAATATCATGGCTCTACACAAGTGTCTAATATTTTTCAAACACTTTCGAAAAGTTGCTTTTGACACACTTATGGGCCTGAAGTTATTAATATCAAGCCTTGTGTCCACCCTTTTATATCAGAGTAATTGTTGCTTTTGACACACTAATGTGCCTGAAGTTATCAATATCTCTGCCCCCAGCTAGGGGGTTGAAGCTATGACGATGAAAAAAATCTGAAAAATAGTTTCCCCTCAAATCAAGAATCGAAGTTTCCAAGCGTTTTTCAAGATTTTCATTTTAAATCCAAAAAAATCGGGGTGGAAAGTTTCCATTCGCTCATACTTTAATCGGTGGTACAAAATGGGCGTTAGCTTAATAAATAATGAATTAAAAAAAAAAAATGTACAGGAAAAAGTTGTAAAGAATGCGATTATCTACAATTGGAGACCAAAATAGTATATTGTGTATTTAGGTGGAAAAGTGACACATTCTCGGCCGACGGTATAAGTTGCAAACACCGAAGGCCGATAATGTGCTTTTCCACTGAATTACATATACTATTTTTTCTGCGATCGGTCAAATACCTGTTAAATGTTGTGTGTGTCTTTTAGTTCCAGTTATTCAGCAGTACGAGAATCACTTTCCCGACCTAGGCCGGAAAGATACGGGAAATTGTTATTAATAATTGATTCCTTAGCAACTATTGAAACATAATTGAAATACCAGCATATTGAGTTTTGCGACCTGTCAACCACTATACTTATTGTTCTCTAATTGAGATTTAGTAACTTCGTCATAAAGATAAAGATTTATTTCTCGACAATAAAGTACATATTCTTTCTTTCTGGGATGCAAGAGAATCTGTATCTGTAATAGGCCAACACTAGAAGACAGAAACAAGAGAGGAGGCTCACTAATAGACTTTTTGTGATAATGAACTTATAATTGACAAGTTAGGCTCAGAGCCATCAGATCAGGTGAGAAAAGAGGCTCCTTTGAAAGATACTGAGGTAGATTTTGTACAAGATGTGCAACTTTCTTTTTTTTTGTAGTTATGTGTAACTGTAATTATGAATAAAACACTTGCAAAATATTTATTATAATTTTATTTAATTATATAACAAAATGTGGATAGAGCTATTATTACAATAATGATAACACTCAAAAAAAATCACACTCCAATATAAATACTATCTAAAAATAAAGCAAAGGTATTTCTGTAATTATTGAAATTACAATTAATATTATTTATATTTTAGAAAATTGCACACAAAAAAAAAAACAATTATACAGAAACGCCTATGCTTGTTCCTTAAAAAAAAAACCAAAGAAAACTTAAGCAAAAAATTCAGTACGTTCAGTGTTAATAATTTACTAAAATTAATTCTACATAGGATTAACATTAATCGAGATGTCGAGGCTTTCTGGCTTATGGGCCATTCTGATTTGGAATTTCTTCCTGAAAGAGTGGATAGCACTCAAATTGTGGTTCTAGAAGAACTAACCACGCAGTTGGGCTTTACACCTCTGAACATGCTAGTCACTTGCGCTAGTGTAAGAAATTCTAGATCAGAAAAGGCCACAATCCAAAAATTCCAAAGGTTAGTCTCAACAGGATTAACATTGTTTCAAACTGTAATTCGCTAAAATGAGACACCACACTTAATAATGCTAGAATAGGAAGGAGTTCTTCTAACATCTGCAGGTGGAATACTTCCACCTACATAAGTTTTTCTTTTGTACATATTTATTTTAGAGGTTTTTTTTTTGATAAAAGTTAGATTTTTATAATTGATAATATAGACAAACTTCATAAAAGACAAAAAAATACTCATGTGTATGTGTCTATTTATTATTTTTCCTTAAAAATAATTTATCACATTTTTTCTTCGTTAAAATGCTCCTTATTTTGGGCTATTTAATAACGTGATTTGTGTGTTCTGTTTCCCCTGCCTTGAATGTGATACTGAGGAGGGAAATCTTTCCACAAATATACAACTAATGTAGTGTATCGAACAGGCAAAATAATCTAAATCTAATAGGAAAATAAAATCGGTATTTATTAGCTTTGAAATGTTTGAAGAGAAAATTTATAATTTATAAATTCCATCAATAATCGGAAAATTCACAGACATTTATTAGACTAATAGATCAGATTAGTGAAAAAAAAAGCTTTGTTTCAGCAAATTTTGAGCGTATAGGAGGCTCTTTGTGGAGAATTTCGAATAAATGCCTGTGAATATCGAAAATCAATCAGTGGATAAGCCTAATAGAATAAATTTCAATATTCAACATTTTTATACTGCTTTAGGAAACACAAGAAATATATATTGGAAAATGTCAAATATTTGCAAAACAAACATGTAGGTGAGGCTGAAAATTGGGGCATTGAAATTTGTTGATGGTTCCTAGGAAAGCCGCTCTAGTCACTTTCTTTTTCAAAAATAATCTACTTTCTAATCAGGCCATTTGAAAAGAATTCATTATTGAAGTATCAATATACGTGTGTCCGTGAAGTAACGGATAACGGTTATAGGTATTAACGTTATAAGGCCAATATATAGCAAATAACGGCCGAACTGAAGTTTCTTTTTGTCAGCCAAGGCTATTATTTGCAGTTATCGGCCGTATTTCGTTCTATGTAGAATTTTCATCATACTGCAGATATTTTTAAATCTGACAAAAAAAAAACTCTCCTAGGGGTATGTTTGAAAATAACGGCTGGCGGTCGTTAAATATACCATTTATATTTCATTTAAAATTTAGGATTTTTTTTTGATGGAACGACTTGTATATTTTGATGAATATTGATAGAGCGGATCTAGACGAATTCTCGATGCGCTCTATCGAATCAAATACCCTTATGAATGACTACGATTATTTCACACGTTGTATCCGGATACTAAGTGGACTAAGGATTATTAAGCCATATTTGTTTATTTCACAACTATTAAATGGAGTAAGATTAGGGTTAATCCTTTCTTAAGCCTTCTTAAAAGCCCAAGCGCAAATTGCTTTGTGTCGTTTGTGTCTAACTTCATTAAAGGCAACAATGATGAAAAATAGTTTCAATTAACAATTAAAAGGTAAACATTTTCTTATCTCACACCAGTTTTTCATCGAAAAATATTCAAATAAAACTAAATAACATCAATCCTCAAAAAAAATTACCAATTTTTTGTTGAAGTTAGCAACAATAGCTATTTATATAACAAGTACATAAAGTAAGGCTTTATTGTACGAATAATTTTATGGCCGAGCGAGGCTATTAAATAATGAGTCAATAATGCCTGTTTATGTAAGCGTTATATACATGATTTTATGTACGATTGCGACTGATTTTTGTTAAAAATTTAAAAAATTTAATGAAAAAAGTAAAATTCGCGTAGGTATACCAGTTTCACCTTGGCAGGTTGTCAGGACCTGTTTCACCTTGGCAGGTAGTCCAGGTAGGCGATAAAGTAGCACTTTATTTTACTAGTAAAATAAAGTAGCACTTTATTTTACTAGTACAATAAAGTGCTACTTTATTGACGCAAAACTGTTCTATAAATAGCACTTTATTGGTCAATCGGACATAAACTTCTTAAATCCGAGATTAAAGTGTTTATTTCACATTTCAGATAATCCATTTTAAGTTCAATCCTACAAATTTGGAGGATTGAATTAAGTACTCCGATCCGGATAAACTCTCTAATCCTGGGTGTTTATGTTAGGATTATGGGTTTTCGTTCTCCATGTACACAAAGACTCAAATAACGGGTATAACATTGATTTTACTTGGGATTCCATGGTGTACGAGTTATTCCTACCTTCACTTTGTAAAACATCAATAAGTCCTTGACATGTTATGTATGACTTCAATAATCCTCATTTCCTTAAAAGCCTTCTACAGGGAACCACATCGATCTATATGTGAAAAACTGTATGCAGAAAATTTTTGAAAATTTGACAATATACTAATGTTAATGGAAGCAACCCCACTAAAATATTTTCAAGATGGTGGCATTACCGGTTATACCGGAAGTAGACGTAAACTTGCTTATTTTAAATGAGACACCCTGTATATGATTGCATATTTGGATTCTACGTAAAATTCTGAGCAGATTTCATGTGATACACCCTATACCAAAGTTCAACTGTTTTGGAAATATTGACAGTTGAAAATTGACTTTTTGCAACTTTGACAGGCTGTATAACCTAAACAGTTAATTTTTGATGTAAACCGATTTTACATTCCTATCTTAGATTTTCATAAACTATCATTTGACACCAACTTTGAATTTAACCGGAGATTAAATTTAATTGGAATTTTCAATCATGGATTAAATTCAAAGTTGGTCTCAAATGATAGTTTATGAAAATCTAAGATAGGAATGTAAAATAGGTTTACCTCAAAAATTAACCGTTTAGGTTTCACAGCCTGTCAAAGTTGCAAAAAGTCAATTTTCGACTGTCAATATTTCCAAAACAGTTGAACTTAGGTATAGGACATATCACATGAAATCTGCTCAGAATTTTACGTAGAATCCAAATATGCAATCATATACAGGGTGTCTCATTTAAAATAAGCAAGTTGACGTCTACTGCCGGTATAACCGGAAGTGCCATCATCTTGGAAATATTTTAGTCGGGTTGCCCCCATTGACATTACTATACTGTCAAATTTTCAAAAAATTTATGCATACAGTTTTTCACATATAGATCGATGTGGTTCATGGTGGGACACCCTGTATTCGAGGGTGACCATATTGAGATATCGGAAACTATAAGAGATACGAGGTCGGTTAAATTATGGCAAAGTTGCGCAATTTTATGACCAATAAAATGCCGTTTTGAAATTTGAAAAATTCTGATTCGGATATTCGGGAAAAACCGAAATTTTGTAAAATCATATCTATTTTTTCGTAAGTCTATTTGAAGAGCAATTTTAAAATAAATGTCACTTTATCATTGTTTTTTTCCCCCTTCACAAGATGTTGCTACCAAATTTCAGATTCGACGTTTCGTCTTTGGGAGGCCATCATCAACTTTATTTTTTCAAATACGAACCTGAATTTTTTATTTCAGATTTTAAGAGCTTCTGATGTCCAAAAATCTATGACGTATCGCTTTTATTCGAAAAAATATTTTTTTTTTACTTTTCAGTAATTTCCTACCAAAATTCTGTTCTCTGTCTCTCTCTCTAACACATTCAGTTCTTATGGAAAGTGCCAATAATATAAATTTTTCGAATAAATGCGATATGTCATAGGTTTTGGGACAGCAAGAGCTCATGAAATATGTAATAAAAAATCCAGGTCCGTATTTGAAAAAAAAAAAGTTGATGGCCGCCCAAAGACGAAACGTCAAATTTGAAATTTGGTAATACCATCTTGTAAAGGGAAAAAGGTGACAATGATGAAGTGACGTTTATTTTAAAATTGCTCTTCAAATTGAAATAAAAATGATTTTGCAAAATTTCGTTTTTTTCCGAATATCTTCGAATGTATTCGGAATTTTTCAAATTTCAAAACGGCATTTTATTGGTCATAAAATTTCGCGACTTTGCCATAATTTAACCGACCTCGTATCGTTTCCGATATCGCAATGGTCACCCTCGAATTTGGACATCCTGTATATGGGGTAAGAATTGTAAGACATATGACTACGTTTATTTCACGCGTTCTATCCGGATACTAAGTGGATTGGATTATTAATGAGGATTACTAATCCTGAAATAAACACCCAGGATTAGAGAGTTTATCCGGATCGGAGTACTTAATCCAATCCTCCAAATTTGTAGGATTGAACTTAAAATGGATTATCTGAAATGTGAAATAAACACCTTAATCTCGGATTTAGGAAGTTTGTTGCTAACTTCAAAAAAAAAAATTACATTTGTCATTTGTAATTTTTTTGAGGATTGATGTTATTTAGTTTTATTTGAATATTTTCTGATGAAAAACCGGTGTGAGATAAGAAAATGTTCACCTTTTAATGGTTAATTGAAACTATTTTTCATCATTGTTGCCTTTAATCAAGTTAGACACAAACGACACAAAGCAATTTGCGCTTGCGCTTTTAGGAAGGCTTACGAAAGGATTAACCCTGATCTTACTTCATTTAATAGTTGTGAAATAAACAAATATGGATTAATAATCCTTAATCCAGTTAGTATCCAGATACAAAGCGTGAAATAAACGTAGACAATATGACTAAAGCAGGTCAATCCCTAGGCACCTTCGCTCCAATTTCAGCCACACATTTTCTCTAGACATATTTCTTGTAGTAAAAAAATTGTGTTTTATGCACCTAGATGACTCAAAAATATTAAATCAAATTGACCATTGTCTAACATTAGCTCAAACAGCCTCTTTACATTGATAACTAAAATTAAAAATCTCCTTCAAGTAACACCAGACAAACGTGTCATAAGTGTTTATAAGCTTTGTTTCTCACAGACAAAATCAGTAAATTAAAACTGGAGGGATCATCACAATAAATAAATTTCTAAATACACTGATTCAGTGAATTTCGATAAACGATTCTAAAGCTTGCGGCACTACTCTCTTATAAGGTATTTTGAATTGTTTTATGACTTGAGCCGCTGCACATTTTAAACTAGAATTTTTCATTACGTCAACAATCATATGGGCCTGTTGGCATTTTAGTAGACTGGAGAATGTTTCACCGCTATTATTCACTTGATCGAAATGGGCTCCTCCTTCTAGCAAATATCTGGCCACTCGATAAGGGCAAGGATTTGCTAAAGCTGCTAAGTGTAGTGGCGTGTTACCTTCGTCGTCTTGCGCTGTTGGATCTGCTCCCACCATTAGAAGTCCTTTTATGAGATGACATGACGGAAATCCATAAACCGGATATCTATATAGAATAGAAAAAATATGTATGGTAACATGAAACACAAAATATATAGTGAGTATTGAATGTGACGTTGCCATTAAATGTTATGGCCTAGATCCATGACTCGACCTTGAATAAGTAGATTTTTGTCTACCTGTTTTTAATGGAGAGGTAAAATGGAAAGTCAAAGACATCAAAACATGCTTTGTATTCTTAAGTAGTGGATCGAAGCACAGAACCATTCCTAACAGGCTTCAACACTTTTCCCTTAGAATAAAACATGTTTATTTTCTACTTAACTATTATAGATCCATAATACCTAGGAAACGAAATACGTTAATATACCTATAAAAACCCGAGGGCATTATAAGCGGGCGTTATAGATCAAAACGTCCACTATAACGACTACAACGCATAGAGAAACAGACGAAAAAGAGAGTAGCGAATTAAACGAGAGAGATCGGCACCGCATTCCTTTATGCCTGTAGCGCAATGCAGACGTCGCAAAGTTATCCCTTTATTTATCGCGTCGGGATTCGACCTACGTGCTCGTTTCCGTCTCATTCTAGCAACATTGAAGCACAATTGTAATATAAGAAATGTAAACAAAGGGCTTCCGAGAGCTCTCATATGTGTGTCAGGTCAGTGTTGTATTTTCCTATATTGCATAAATAATTACATTATACTTATTACTTGTTTTATTTTTATTATCGTTAGACTGAGGATAGTTCAATGTTTTCGTTTTCTATCACACATTTTTTGTATTTGGAGAGTTATTTATTATTAATTTCATTACTATTATTGATATTATTCGTATTATAAGAGTTATTGTTTTATTTCATTACTACTTGAAGAATTCAGATTTTGTTTATATTTTAAGAGTTATTATTTATTTCATTATTGCTTGAAAAATGCCGCTAATAATTTTCTCAATAAAACTAGCTTGATAAAAAATAAGGTATTGTTTTTTTTTCCCTAAAAATTTCCATTAAAACCAAATAATCTTCAGTACCAATTCAAATTTCCCGCCACAAGTTTAGTTCATCCTGTAGTTCACGGAGGCGCTACAGGCATACAGCGGTGTCGATCTCTCTCGTTTAATTCGCTACTCTCTTTTTGGTCTGTTTCTCTATGCTACAACGCCTATTTATAATGCGGTGTTTATTGGTATATTAATTTATTCCGTTTCCTAGGTAGGTACAGGCAGTACAGGTACATGTCAAAATACAAAACAATATTCTGTCACACAAGTTCAACTGCTTTTGTTTGATACTAAATTGATAAGAGAACATTGTCTTGAGTAGAAAATAAAGCATCTTGAAGTTGTCAGAATCAGATGAGATATACAATGATAACATCCTGTATAACATCACATTTTCCTTTTGAATTGAAATTAAAGCATAATATGAGGTGTCTTTCTTCCAGCTGTAGAGACTCCAAAAGTTCAAACAGAGTAGGCCTTTTCGGAAATGCTGATCCGATTAACCCGATCACCAGCTGTTTGTTTTCTATCTTTCTCTAATGACCATGATTGAAAAAAGACAAAGTACATCAGCTAGTAATCCGGTTAATCGGATCAGCGTTTCCGAAAAGTCCTAATGACAGCCTAGAGCCAAAAATATTTTGATTTTATCAAAATACAAACATTTCCAACTCACCTAACAAGCAGAGCAACATCTCTACAACATGCTAAATGAAGTAAGGTCCGACCAAGCCTAGTCCTTATTCCTAATTTATTAAGATTATAAATACACTTGAGTATCTCGTGTTTTACTTCTTCAGTGGTGGATTTGTAGCTTAACATTTGCGTTAAAAGTGAGGCAAGATGAAGAGTAATGATTGTTACCTAAAACAAGAGTTTTTTTTTTAAAAATTGTTACCACCATTCGCCTGTCATAAGTAAGTAGTACTTACCCTTGTTAAATAGGTCATGTCTTTATCTTGATTAGGAAGCCTATTAAGCATTTGATTACCCAGATCTACTTCTTTGATTGCCTTTTTAAATACTCTAAGAATTTCGTGGACATCAACAGGTGGTACCAATCGACCTCGACTAGTATGTTTTCCCTCTTCGCCCATCATAAACGAGAACAATTCTGTGAAGCTGAAAAGACTGCTCTGAGTCATCGGACTCAGACACTCAAGTATGGTCTGTTGCATATCAAGAGCGTAATTCCATAATTCAATACATCTAAAATATAACTTATTGTGCTTAGTTTGGAAGAAAAAATTATTATGGAGCATTAATACCTATTAAATTTGCCAGCATCAGCATAAACGGCGCCCCTATATCTGATATAGTAACTGGTGTCAGGATGTGCTGGGCCTAAGATACGTTCGCGTATTACTAGAGCTTGCATTCTCATTTCGTCCGGATCGGCCATAAGGTCGTCTAGTGCTAGAGGGTCTGCGATTTCTACTACGTAATCGTATGCTGCTATTTTTTGGGTTTTTGGTTTTGCCATAAGTATTCCGTCGCCGTGATACCTAAAATATAAATTGAATATAAATATAAAGATACTAAATAATTATGCATTATCAGAATTATATTATTTACTGGAAAACACACATTAACTAAGTCAGCAGAACAATACAGCCAATTCTTTTTAGAGGCGTATGTGGACATGAATGGTAGGCAAGTAGTACAGTACCCTTTCTTCCTCACAAGATATAGAAATTATCAAACATCACCGTTGGAGCTAATAAGTACTGGTTAATGAGAAAAAAATGCTATTTGATGTTACCAGCGAACCACCAATAGGAAAGAGCGACCATCTTATAATCTAGGCTAGAATGCTAGTTAGTCTCAATCCCAAAACTACACAAAGTTTTAAAATGAAATTTCTGGAATAGCAAAAAACACATAGTTGGAAAACTTCCAACCAAAAAAGATTTGATCATTACTTACATAAATCAATGTTGCAGTAGACAAATTTACTCCTCTGAAAAGTATCAGAATCAATCATAAAGCCATGATAAACTCCACCAATATTTGAAAACGTTGATAAAACACCCCAAACTTTGGGACAGATGTATCAACAGACAAAAAAATTGAAACTGTAACAGATACTGAGCTTCTATCCACAGAAACTTGAGAATAAGAAATTGTAAAGAGTAAGCAGATCGGCAGAACGCTGCCGACAAAAATATCCTCACTTACACTAAGAGATGACAATAGAAACACTATTTAAGATCTCTTTCAATTTTAAATAGGTGAAAAGCCAATTGAGTTTGACAAACCTTATAAGTACTACATAACTACAGACGTCATTAATAAAGCCTTGCCATTGCCAATATCATCAAATTCTTCCCAGCTAGAGCAGGATATAACATCAGTACTATTTACTCATCAAAGCATAGCAAGCTATGCAAGACCCTGAAAGTGATTCTGCATCGGGCCCTGATAATAGTCCTGCGAATGTTCTGAGACTGTCAGTAACCAATAAGTCGCTTAATGAAAGAATGTTTGAATAGTAGAACTTTGCCTGATTTATTGAAAATATCAATAGTCAAATCACTGTTCAAGAAAGGAGTTTCTCAGGGTTTTGTCCTGTGTGCTGTGACCCAACCTCTTTTTGGTGTATGTAGGCGATTTGGGAGCCAACAGAAAACCAACAATATTTTTTTTGCTGATGATATAAAGCTCTACACCCATTCGGAAACCCAATATCATGAATTGCAAGACTTAACAATAGTACAGGAATGGTCAAAACTTTGGAAAATAAAACAAAATGTACAATTCTCTAATGTTAACAGCTTTTCGGGACCTGCTAAATCAACATCAAGACTGTATAAATCAATTATGCGTCCGAAACTTTCTGATACTGCCCAGTAACATGGAATCCGTATATTGTTTGAAAAACAAGTAACTAAGGACAACACGAATCTCACACAACAAGATGGCTCAAGACTAACTGGCTTCCAGATGAAAACTTTAAAAGTGTGCAGTCTATGTGTTGATCTTGTTAAGACATTTAAAATAATCCAAAACTATTACAGTGGCAATATGACCATCTTTCATCCAGGTAATAACGTCAATCTAAGGCCATACCAAAAAATTTAAGAAAAAAAGTCAGCTTAATTTCTAAGAAAAACTCCTACTAAATCGTGATGTGTATCAGTGGAAGACCTTAAATAAAAATTAAATTATGTATATGATTTTTTAAATTAAACTGTACTCAGACATTATTTAAACCGAGTAGATGGCAACAAGGAAAAACACTGCACTTGTTGACTTGTGGAAACATTTTCATATTTGGCACGACATCTAGCTTACCAAACAACTGTGGAAAATTCGGATTGAGGAACGCCTGTCTGAAAATTCAAGCAGTTTGTGTGTGCATGGCTATTTATATTCAATGAATAAGCAAATAATTTACTGGTGGTTACTACTCAAATTGTACTTTTTTTTACTAAAACAGCCTTGTAAGTAAGATTAACGATTTGATTGAATTTAAGCCAGGTTTACGGTGGAATCAAAACTAGTAAAACAACTTTTAGGGTCCAAAATATGTTGGTTAAACCCTCTGCCCCCTGATAGACGTTGAATGTGGCTACAGTTTCAACTTTCTTAGGTGATGCTTTAGTATCATCCCAATGTCCAATACTTCTCTTTCAGGTTTTTTGTTAAGCATTTATCTGATATTTAACAATTTGTCTTACCTTTCGTTCATGGCACGTCGCCACAAATCTAACGCTCCAATCATATCTCGTTTCTTGTCGACACAAGTTGCTCCTAAAAGTTCCAGTGCATCGATTCGTTCCGCTCGCGGGACAAGATGAGGAAGTTTGATTAAATATTCTACTATGTGATTATGGCCGGTTACTGCTGCAGCTAATAATGGTGTCATTCCTAAAACAAACAAAAAATAAATAACGAAATAAGACTAGACTAGACTAGAATTAGAATTTAAGAATCGCCTTAATAATAATAGGCCAGGAAACAAAGGTTGAACCTCGCATACTCAACACAAGTTCGGGCTGCACATTATGGGTCTAACTTTTTCCAATAAAATTTCTCCCTCCCTTTTTATTCCCCAATTTGGTTTTTCCGGAATGTAGCATTTCCGCTTTACGTTTTACAAAAAAATACCTCAATATAGTTAAATAAAAAAGCCTAAATGCTCTGCCATTTATCCAGCAACATGTGTATCACCTACCCCTTAGCAGGGGTGCTTGGATTTTTTAAGATATACAGGGTATTGAAATTTAAAAAACCCCTTTCATATGTTCTGAAGGGCTAATGCTAGGCTGTTCAAATTTTCAGAGATTATTGATGTAGGAATGATATTTAAAAAATCGTATAATGCATACCCATTTTCCCCCTTTTATTTCCATTTTCTTGCACACAATGCCCTCCATGAAAACGGATCACATATAAAAAATAAAACAGAATCTGTGTCGAGTTTGCAAGATTCCGTGCAATGAAAGTCAAAGACAAAATACTTTTGGATCGACACTTTTTATTTGTTTGACTAGAAAACATCCGCGTGACCAAACTTGAACCGTCAATATAGTTAATGAAAATTGAATGTACTTACCATAGGAATCCACATCCATCGTTGCTCCATGTTCAATAAGTAATTTTAAAATTTCTAAGCTACCACTTTCCGAGCAATCATGCAAAGCCGTATTCCCTTTTACGCTCTTCCTGTTAATACTGGCCTTAAGACTTAACAAATACCTCACTATTTTGATATTGCCTTTGTAACACGCTATCATCAGGCATGTATGACCGTGTTTATTCGCTACCTGAAACAAAAGTTTACACAGAATTTTTTTTATTTTTTATATTAATAACATTGGAATGATTATATGGTTAGAGCCGGCATTCAGCGAGGCTTGGGCACGGTTAACTCAAAACAATGCTTGGCAAGTGGTAATAAATTCCCACAACGTGTGTGAGTTTGTAGATCATATTTGTATTAGCTTGGCAAAGCTCCCGTATAGTTTACATAAAAATTATAGGTAGATGCAACAATACAAGTAAAAAATATTTTGAAAATACAGAAAAATCTAAACAAACATTTCATAATAAATGATAAACCTTAATGCTTGAATAAATTTAACTCGGAACTCAAACCTTGAAAATTATAATTTTCTTAAATAAATTTTTCATTAGGATGGTTCTTTATGTGTCCAAATCCGAAATTACATAATGTCAAGATCAAACATTTTTTACAATAAACGAAATGCCAAAATTTGCCTAAATAGACCGTTAAAGTGACGAATGGAAATTTTATTTCATTTTAGTTTCTATAACATACAGCAAATAACCCCAAACTTCAAATAAAGGGTTAAAAACCATTTATATAACTGTATAAGATATCGAGGCAATGCTAAATTAAACACATTGGCTGGATACTGAACATTCATATAAATTTTAACTAGAACTTCAGAATATCAACAACAACAGGATTTGGACTTAAGTATCGAAGAAAAAATTTTTCTTCAGTCCTTCCCAATGAAATTAAAATTAGTTTTGTAGGATTTTACCTCGATATCCGCTCCATGTTGTACCAAATATTTCACTATTTCTAAATGTCCGTCAAAGCAAGCGGCCCTCAACGGTGTCGAATTGGTCCTAGTTGTTGTGTTCACTTTTGCCTTGTAACTTATTAATAATTTCACTATGTCCATGTGTCCAGCCGCCGCTGCGCACCAAAGCGGCGGCGCTCCTTCTATCGTTTCACCATCGAACATAACTAGAACAAAATAATTCTCTGTAGAAATTGAATAAAATATAAAAAGTTATGATACATAAAAAATAGCCAAGCGTTCTTCCATGTACCTTATGTAAAAATCTTTCAAATATAAATACTAAGAACTAAGAAGGAATCAGATAAAATATTCTAAGTTTAGAAACTGATATGTAGTAGACTTGGAAGCAATAATCAGAAGGAGGAAGTACTACTAGTACTAGAACATCAATTAGCATTTGAATACGTACAAACTTTTGAGTTTCATGTATCTACACCAGTGGCCCGATTCTCGTCTCAGGGAGAGGAGAGCTCCTCGAGAGAACAAATTTTTCGTCTTTATCATTCTCGTTCAGTTTTCGATTACGTTGACAAGGACAAAACATTCGTTCTCTCGCTTGTTGTTTACATGGGAGGTGTGTATCAAAAATCATCCAGAGGTTTATGGTGCAATCAACAGAGGTCAACAAGGAACCAATATGTAGAAAAAAAGGTACCAAATATAATCGGAACGGAAGGTATATAAACTTGAAAGTTGTAACTATGTAAGTAATTGATTTTTCTTAGTTATAATATTTGGTTGGTTATTCAATTTATGATGTGAGATTAGTGAGATTTACCCTTAAGACTGGTGGACATTTTCAGAAATTTTACTCCGAACGGCATTTCGTGCGACATTCGGCAACTTGACGTTTCTAGGGTATTTCGACCCCGCTGAATCCGAATCCGGATGTTGCCAAGCCGAATTTTGCCTCCAACGGCCTCAAATCCAAGATGGCGGCCAAACTATGGGCCTAAATGACACTTTTCTTAACTCATTGGTTGCCACGTCATACATATATGGGTGACAGTGATGTTTGCCGGTGGGCCGCGTCATACATATATGGGCGACATGGCCTGCATGCATAACTCCGCGCCAGGCCGCGTCATACAAATATAGGCGACGATCAGTGTATTTTCAATAGGGATTCTGAAAGGTGACCCCTTAGAAACATTGTGATATACTTGGTTTTAGGAAATCTTTAAATTTACATATTCTTAGGGCATTGAAAAAAAATGGAAGGGAAAAGTGGGAAAAAAATAAAATTTATTCAAAAACTGCCAAATACCATAATTCTAATAGCAAAACTTGAAGATCTTTCATGAACATCATCAAAAAAAATAATAATTGAAAGTGAAAAAAAAAAAAATCTCTACACTTTCTACTTATAATAAAAAAAAATTAACGACTCACAAACTAGGCAAATCAAAATGTTTACGAATGTATTGCATTGAAACATGGGAGACCAAATAAATAATAATTGAAAGTGAGAAAAAAAAAAACAAAAACTCTACATTTTCTGCTTATAATCTGAAAAAATGAACGACTTACAAACTGGCAGGCCACGTCACCCATATAAGGGTGACACCTCAAAAACCTCTTTTGACAGTTGAATCACACAAAAGATATCAAAAAACGTCTAAAGCTAACGTATTTTGAAAGTCAAACTCAAAAAATCTGAAAAAAACATGTGGCCCTCTGGGAAACATACCCAAAATGGCCGTGGCACTCAATGTGTTAAAGTGCATCGTTATTGACCGGCGAGATGTCGTTTCATATGTTTTTAGGGTCGCTGAACATGAATATGAGTATTGGAAGTCGATTCGGATACCGGAAGTACCATAATTCAAGATGGCTGCCGTCGAGGGCCTAAATACAGAACTTTCAGAAGTTGGCGTATTGTCAAGTGCGGCGAATCGGCACATATGTCTTTGACGTCGACTAGATCAAAAATTAGCACCAGAAATTGACTAGGCAACCGGAATTACCGTAATCCAAAATTGTGACCGGTTGGGGCCCAAATACCAAACTTTAAAAAGTTGCTATAATATGACGTGCTGGGTATGACCACAAGTGTTTTGAAGGTCGGTGAACACGAATTTGAGGTCGGAAAAGCGATAGGAAACATTTTTATTTACGACTAATGTATAATGTAAGTATTATACTTGTGATTTTGGCAGTATAATGACATACGTTATTCCCCCAGAGAATAATGACGAGTAGCGGGATTAAGGCCGCGTTAATGGCCGCCATGTTTAAATTTAGTTTTTGAAAATGACGACTGCGTCACTCTACACATACCGTTCAATATTTTATTTTTTGTCCATCAAAACAAAATCTGTTTGTCGGTGAAACACTTAGTGACAGAGAAAGACAAATATACAATTATGATGCTCCCAATGTAGCTTTTTTGCCGTGGCGCCATCTACTTGAAATTGCTTGAACTGTTTTCACCTTCAAAATTGGTTTTAAGGTCATCTCAAAAAATCCGCAATAATTTCCAAAAGCCTTTGGCATAAACATTATTTGATATATTATCTACAATCTCTACAATTGGCTTTTTTTAGTTTTTCGTGGTTATCAATAAAATATCCTTTTACGGATCCAAGCTTGATAAATATGCAAATATGCAACCACCAACACATTTAATTGTTTTGGTGGTTGCGAACATGATTTTTGAATTAAAAAAAAAAGGCTGAATATCGAAAAACCAAAATAAGGAATTGTAGATAATCGATCAAATAATGTTTATGCCAAATTTGAGCCAATTCTGATGTGCCGTGACCTTAAAACAAGTTTCGAAAAATCAACCAATCACAGTTTAAACATGGCGGCCATTAACGCGGCCTTAATGGTCATTATTCCTCAAAACTGTCAGTGTCAAACGTGTAGTGCTTGTGGATTTGTATTGAGAATTGAGATGGATGAAATTTGTTCAATAAAAATCTGAAATAAATTAAATTGTCGTAAATAAAGTAGAGTATACTTCTTGCAATAATGGCTATTGTTCCCTCGGCTATTCCTCGGGAATAATAGCTATCATTATTGACTCGTGGTATAATATACTATAACACAGGTTGACACAGATTTAAACAGGTAACTAAGTTTTATACTGACATTTAGGCTTCTTCCAAACGATCCTAATGATGCTATATTTCCTTTTTTATACATAATTAATATTTCATGTTACAGATACAATAAACTATCCATTAAAACTGGAACACAACAGAAGAGAACTGCATCTTTACGCCAAATTCGCAAGGCTTTAACGTCAGGAACAGTGCCTCTTCCTAAGAATTGGCCCAACTATGTGGGCAATTATAAATTCTGAATCTAATAAAAATAAAACTAAAACAAATATCTCACTGAAGGTAGATGGAATGTCAGTTGATGATCCTAACTCCTTGGCTCAGCTTTTTGCTGATCATTTTGATCTGCCTTTTCATTCTCTGACTGAATACGTTATTGAAAATAATGGTAACTATCCATCAATTTTTCTGGAACCAGTTGACCTACAGGAGATTTTCAGAATTTTGGCTTTAACGTCAGGAACAGTGCCTCTTCCTAAGAATTGGCCCAACTATTTGGGCAATTATAAATTCTGAATCTAATAAAAATAAAACTAAAACAAATATCTCACTGAAGGTAGATGGAATGTCAGTTGATGATCCTAACTCCTTGGCTCAGCTTTTTGCTGATCATTTTGATCTGCCTTTTCATTCTCTGACTGAATACGTTATTGAAAATAATGGTAACTATCCATCAATTTTTCTGGAACCAGTTGACCTACAGGAGATTTTCAGAATTTTGATGTCGCTCCTTAATAAGTATTCTTTGGGTCTTGATGGAGTTCCTGTCTACGTGTTAAAATTTGTAGCTCTCTGTGTGTCTGAGCCTTCGCTTGATGTTGTTAATGAGTGTCTTTCTACTCAAGTATTTCCACTTTAGCCCTTTTGAGAACAAAAGAGCTAAAGTGGTTCCAGTGTTTAAGAAAGGAAATAGGATATTGGAAACTACCGTCCAATATCAGTTCTGCCTGCTGATTCTTAAAGTATTCGAGAGGGTTATTTATTCAAGAGTGATGAATCATCTGGTTAGACATAACATATTGAGCAAGCAACAATTTGGATCAGAGCTGGGCAGGGCTTGAGTGCTTTGTGCTTGCGAAAGTGCTTGAAGCACTTTGAGGGCTTGAAAGCCCTGTGCTTCAAGCCCTTTTATAGATTTGTAATTGGGGCTTGCAAAGTCAATTACTTTAGAAAAGTGCTTGGTAATTTGTAATTGAAAAAAGTAATTCAAGCCCTTTCAATGAGCTTCAATTACTTTTAGAGGGCTTGAAGCACTTTTGGGAGCTTGAAGCCCTTTGAAAAGGCTTGAAGCCCTTTAAGAGGGCTTGAAGCACTTTTGGGAGCTTGAAGCACTTTGAAAGGGCTTGAAGCACTTTAAAAGGGCTTGAAGCTCTTTAAAAGGGCTTGAAGCACTTTGAAAGGAATTTGAATTGACCATCATTCAACCTCCCACTTAAAAATTTTCGATCGTGTTTTGTCCCTTAATTTTTTTTTCTTTTATTTGAACTTGAACCGTCTTATGTCTTTTCTCTCTTAACAATGGAGGTTTTGGGTTCGAGCTTAGAATGGAATTTAAAAAAAAAATGAATGAACTTATTATTAAAATAAATAATTAATTTATATTGGTACCCTATTTAACTTTATCACTGGATTTTTTCCACTTTTCCCCATTGAACATTTTGAAAACCTTAAAATTGAAGTACCATGTAGTACCCCAAGTACCTACCCCAGAACTACATCTCAAAAAAAAACATACTACTGCTACTCTGTGAAATGTAAAGTTCGTCTCTACTATACCAATTCTGTGTGATGAGTTTACGCGGTAGCTTATGCCACTTTGAGAATTTTATTACAAATTCAAAGTGCTTTAGGCACATTTAAAGAGCTTCAAGTACATTTAAAGAGCTTGAAGCACATTTAAAGAGCTTGAAGCCCTTTTCAAGGCACCTCAAGCACTTTTGATGTGCTTCAAGCACTTTTCAAATCACTTTGAGGGCTTTGTGCTTGTCAAGCCCAAAGCACTTTGAGGGCTTTGTGCTTGTGAAGCACTTTTAAAAATAAAAAGGAATTTGTGCTTGAAATTGAAGCACTTTGATAGAGGGCTTAGGGCTTAGTGCTTCAAGCCCTTTTACTGAGGGCTTTGCCCAGCTCTGATTTGGATTTATTCCTAAAATGTCCACTGATATGGCTATTTTCCATGGAATAAAATATATAACTGATCAACTGGATAAAAACTCTAAGGTTGCAGGCCTCTACTTCGATTTGTCTAAGGCTCGGTCTAAGGGTTCGGTTGACCATTATCTGACGCTGTGCATACTGAACCATTATGGTGTTAGAGGTGCTGCAGCGGACCTGCTGAAGTATTGTGTGTTGGGCAGGAAGCAGGCTGTTTGTGTTGCTGGAGGGTTCGTTGATGAACCACAAGTATCTGCTAGCAGGCACGTCCCGTCTTAAAATCGCGTAAAAGAGTGTAAGTGTAAAGGTATTTACCTAGAGGGATGGATTGCAATCTACGCACGAAGAGGCTAATACTCGTATATTATCCTCTATGCAGTAAACAGTACGGACAGTAGAGTTGTCGTGTCTGCAAGAAACACAGAAGTATTTGTTTTGCTCCTCGAAAATATCCTTATATTCCATGCGCTGACCGGTTGTAACACTAGCTCATTCGTAGCAGGTTGGTATCCAGTTTCCTTTTTTTACGTATATTTTTGCTGCACTAGACACTTATTTAAATTCATATTACAGGTATAGGAAAGAGAGGTGCTCTAGTTGTATATCGTACACATTCCAAGCTTCCTGATTGTTTCGCAGTTGCAGAAGTTCAGGAGAGATTTTTGTCAAAGTGAGAGCAATTCATGGTACTTTTGCACAAGAAAATAGAAAATACCTGTGATGAAGCAAGACACATTCTTTTTGGAAAAGTTTCAAGTCCTGAATTGCTCTCAGCTACGTCTGATGCAGCCCGTCCTCACATTCTCCGAGCCCCCTACCAAGCCGGGGTCTGGCTGAATGCACATATAGCAAGGCCAGACCTTCCCAATCTACACCACCCAGCCAGCGGTGCCCAAGTCCTGCACGCAGTTACTGAGTTGTGGCTGCAGGTCAGGGTGCGGCACAGGCATTTGCAAGTGCAGGCGGGAGGGAGAGGTCTGCACCAAGTTGTGCAAGTGTCAACCTATGTTAACATGTTTCCTATCGCTTTTCCGACCTCAAATTCGTGTTCAGCGACCTCCAAAACACTTGTGGTCATACCCAGCACGTCGTATTATAGCAACTTTTTAAAGATTGGTATTTGGGCCTCAACCGGTCGCCATCTTGGATTACGGTACTTCCGGTTGCCTAATCGATTTCTGGTGCTAATTTTTGATCTAGTCGACGTCAAAAACATATTAGTCCGGGAGTTAACGACATATTTCATTGTACCATTTTCGCAAGCTTCATTCTTTTCGTATGTGTTATGCGTGTAGTATATGATAGTAATATGAACGTCTGCCGGCGCACCAACACGACAGGGGGTTACAGGAGGGTTACAATTATAGCAAAAAATGAACGAAAAAAACTTAAAGCCGCATAAGCGAAACTTATTGTACATATTGGTAGAAACATAGAAAGCTCAGAAAATATGGTCTGCCACCTAAATTCCACAACAAAAGTCGTCTGCCACCCACATAAGTAAGCGTAAAAAAAATTTAAAACAAAAAATATACTCGTAAGGCTGAAATTAATTAAAATACTTCTTTTTATGGAAACAAACACAAACATAATAGTCTGCCACGAATAAGATACAACGAAGATCGTCTGCCAAGCCTATGAAGTTGGGTTCGGCATGCAGTGCCCGAGCACCACCGCTAGGTCGCTGCATTTTTTTCTTATTCCTGTTTATTTTTTTATTTTTTTGTAAGGCTAACCAAAATGAATTGTGAAAAGCTCAAGTCTAATATTCTAGAGTTCTTAAAGAGATTATAGAAGGATACACTCAAAATGGAAATGAAAATTTTCACTTGGAATATTTATTTTCTCTTTTTGACACTTGTCAAACTCACTGTGAAAATAATTAATTTCAGCCTTGCGGGTATATTTTTTTTCAAATTTTTCACTTATGTGGGTGGCAGACGACTTTTGTCGTGGAATTTAGGTGGCAGACCATATTTTCTGAGCTTTCTAAGTTTCTACCAATATGTACAATAAGTTTCGCTTATGCGGCTATAAGTTTTTTTCGTTCATTTTTTGCTGTAATTGTAACCCTCCTGTAACCCCCTGTCGTGTTGGTGCGCCGGCAGACGTTCATATTACTATCATATACTACACGCATAACACATACAAAAAGAATGAAGCTTGCGGAAATGGTACAATGAAATATGTCGTTAACTCCCAGACTATATGTGCCGATACGCCGCACTTGACAATGTGCCAACTTCTGAAACTTCTGTATTTAGGCCCCCGACGGCCGCCATCTTGAATTATGGTACTTCCTGTATCCGAATCGACTTCCGGTACTCATATTCATATTCAGCGACCCCAAAAACATATGAAACGACATCTTGCCAGTCAATAACGATACACTTTAAGAAAAATGTCATTTAGGCCCATAGTTTTGCCGCCATCTTGGATTTGAGACCTTTGGAGACAAAATTCGGCTTGGCAACATCCGGATTCGGATTCAGCGGGGTCGAAATACCCTAGAAACGTCAAGTTGTCGAATGTCGCTTAAAATGCCGCTCGGACCAGTCTACTTCTATGTTGTACAGTACACAAGTTGATATATATATAATATATATATATATTATGCTTTTCACTTTTTACCGCACATATACCTCATATGTCACATTTTGCCCATTACCGGAAGTTGTGGGTGTTTGAGAATTTGACAATTTTTTTTTTGCTTCACTATTATTATTTGTATCCTTGACATTCTTGACATTCTTGCCTACTAACCACATGCATTCTTGGACTTCTGTCAATAATTGCTATTGTTTATTTTCAGCTTTGTCAACATTCTTTTAAACAATAAAGCATAATTTGAGTTTAACTTTGAATTGAAAAAAAATAATAATGGTTATTCATACCTGATCCAGGTTGTTCAATATCAGCATTACATTTTTCGATGAGGTACTCGGCGACGTCGTAGTGGCCATTCCGACAAGCAATGACCAATGGGGTGGCACCAGAAGTTTTAGCCGCTACCAGCATGGACACCTCGTCTTTACCTTTGTTGCAGTGCAAGTATATCTACAAAGAAAATAGAATTATTATTGAAACAAACTCAAAAGCTGAAACTTAAGAGGTTTTTTTTTCAGACGTCTGATGTTTAACATTCAAATTTACAGGGATATCGAGAGAAGGTATATCCATAACATCCTTGCTAAAGCAAATTTACTAAGTATCCATCAAAAATCAATTTATCATGGAAAAATAATTACAAAATTGTTTTTTCTTTTCTTAATTTTCTTGGATTCTAGATTGTATTTCACCTTCAAAGTTATGGGAATGATGGAACAAGTTATACCTAATATTTCTGCAGAAGGAAATTTATCATCCATCGAAAAAAGAAACACCCCTCTGATGAGAAACATAAAATTAACTTCCTAATATTTTCTACAGTATTTAGTCGAAAAGTTTTTTGTAACTTTCTTTATCCGTGTATGCTTAATAATGCTGCATCCTGTCCCTGGCTCTAGTATTGACGCCCTCCAAATTCACTTTTGAAGGTTGTTTTTATCAAACAACTAAACTTACCTTCAAGAAATATTATATAAAATAAAACTAGTAAATAAATAAATCTGGAAATACATTGAGCTCTTATATTATTTGTTTCTTAAATCTTCTTAATTCAGTTTCGAATAAAACAATAACATTACTCACATAGTATTAAACGTAATCAAATACACTATTAAATAGTAGTAAACAACAACACTTTGAATTATTATTATTTACAAGTTAAAGTTACAACCACGAAAAGCTTATTAACACTGAACCATGCAACATGCAAGCATCGTTTAATAACATTGAACAATTACATTGACAAAAGAAATATGATAATTAACAGCAAAAAAGGTTCTCCGAATGTTACATTGCATAAGAAACTTGCAAATTCTTTATTTATTGTGTTGGCCTACCAAAAAATCAATAATTTATTCGGCATTAGGAAATCCTTGTTAATGCGAATTCATTAAATTTTATCTTAACAAGCATTCCCAAAGCCTAAAACCCATTAACAAAAAACACAATAAAAACGCAATTATACTAACTCCTAATTCTCATTTTTTAACCTTGGAAACATAAATAATGATAATTTGGCCTGAGGCCCAAAATCAACGTGTGATACTTTAATTAATTTTATATTTCGTAACTGTGCCATATTGGAGTGAGACTGGGTATAAATTGCCGCTGGGTACCATTTGATGTTGATGACCCTTGGTAATGACCTCCTTTCGCCTTGCAAGGCTTAGAAAGTAACAAAACTGCATCATGTAATGGTACTAGTAGAATTGAATATATACCCATTTATATTGAAGTGTATACCTATTAGGAGTATAAGAGATTTAATAGAATAGTTTAATAAACCCAGAAGTAAATATAATGTAACATAGATAAAAAGATAAAGATTTTAATACTTACTACTACTATAATTCTATATGAATGATTAATGCAATGTTCCATAAACAATGAAATATCGAAATCAGTAAAAGTTTCCAAATATTGAATTGTAAAATAATTCAATACAATTGAATCCCATAGGATTAAATGAGGACAACGCTTCTAATAATACGTTTTATACCAAAAAGCAATCAAATTGGTCGATTAATCCGTGGTTTAATTTTCCGTTGCCAAAGGAAATAAACTGTATTCAAAAGTTAACAAAAAATGAAGTTCAATGTATTGATGGTCCCCCGGTTCAATGGACACGCTACAAGACGGTTCACTTTAAGGTAAAAAATGATTAAGTGTTTTGCTGACTCATTTATCTATCATTGATTAGGTGGTTTTTCTTTAAAACTATGACCCTATAGAGATAAGCAATATATATTTTTGAAACCATTTAATATAAAAAAATTCGATTTTAGATTATTGTAATTTTAGGTTTAACAATATACTATTATTAATAACAGTTAACTACAGCTCGAACTACAGTCTTAGTCTGAATGTGATGTTCGTCATAGATAAAAAAAAAATTCCGGTTTTTAGTGTCCTACGCCTTCCGGTTCCCAGTCTCCAGCCCCTTCTGTCTTCCCAATCTCCTGGATGTAATTCCCGCTCCGACATGGTGTTACGTGCCAATTTATTACGTGGCAAAACGTAACGGAGAAGACAACAATAGGACTTTGAGGAGGTGGGAAAGTTAATGGATAACTAAAAAGAGAAAGAATAGAAAGAAAGGGTTGGTTGGTGGCTGAAATCTAGAAACGTGATTTCGTGTATAGTGTTGCCGACTAGCTTCCAATACGGAGAGTGGTGTGGGTTAATTAATTAACTAAATATAGAGCGCCACCTACTTTTTCCCTGCAGTACACGAAATCAACCGATATAACGAAAGCAGGAAACTTCTACGGAACTATAGCAGCACAACCTGAAATATAAACGTAAACAAGAAGAAAGGACAAAAAAAATGAAACGCTTTGCTAAGTACAATCAGGTACGGGTTTTAATTAGAACCAGAATAGGTTGACTCTAGAACAGGTTCAAAGAAGTAAAGAAATCGCCTAGACTAGGAGTACCTAACCTATACCGGGTGTTTTTCAAAACCCGCTCACCCCTATAACTTTTTTATTTTTCCAAATAAAGAAATGAAATTTGGTGTGTTTATTTATGATCCGGATGTGCATTATTTGACGTGTTTAATTATTTATTATCACTTCCGGTTTCACCGGAAGTGACCAGAACTTTCTTATTTTAAATGAGACGCCAAGTACATCTTTCCTCATTTCAATAGAAAACTACATTACGAGTACAATGACACCTCATTTGTCACTTTTTGACATTTCATCTTCAAATTATTTAATTTTTTACTTTTTAATCTAGAGCGCCATAAATTAGTTAAAGTGCTTAATTTTGCTCCAAGGAACCTGGGAAAATTTGTTTTGATCTTATTTTGCATTTTATATCCTCAACAGACTCATTCAAAGATAGTAAAAGCGCATTTTTGGAATTATATCAATTTTTTCAAATGGAAAGGGTATGGCTCAATAGCATATTCCGGGAGAGCATTTTCTAACGAACAATTTAGTACCACACAATCGCTAGTTTATTCAAATATTGAACTAAAATTTTTCAAAAATATTTAGAATGCTAGGAAAATTCTTCATTTCAGTGCTCAACTAGCGATTGTATGGTACTGAATTGCTCGTTATAAAACGCTCTTTTGGAATATCCTAATGAGTCACACCCTTTCCATTTGAAAAATTTGAGATAATTACAAAAATGCACTTCTACTATCTTTGAATACGTCTGTAGAGGATATAAAATAGAAAATAAGATCAAAACAAATTTTCCCAGGTTCCTTGGAGCAAAATTAAGCATTTTAACTAATTCATGGCACTCTAGATTAAAAAGTAAAAATTTAAATAATTTGGAGATGAAATGTCAAAAAGTGACAAATGAGGTGTCATTGTACTCGTAATGTAGTTTTCTCGGTCAGACTGGAAGTGATAATAAATAATTGAATACGTCAAATGATGCACATCCGGGTCATAAATAAACACACCAAATTTCATTTGTTTATTTGAAAAAATAAAAAAGTTATAGGGGTGAGCGGGATTTGAAGAACACCCGGTATACTCTAAAAATAGTAAATACAAAAAAAAAATTAACTCGAGTCCCTTAAAGTAAAGAGTACCGTACAACAGCAATAATACCTGAAATATAAATGTTCAATATACAAGCTCACTAAATGCAGTATAGGGTGACCATGACCATACGTACAGCATTTCGCTGTATTGTACAGCATTTTGAAAGTCTGTCCAGCATTTGATTTTGTACAGCAAACGTACAGCGAAAGTCCAATGTCCTATTAACACTGTGTTAATAGGTCATTGCGAAAGTCTATGCTAACGCCGCATATATACATTTGCGATTTACGTCATTTACGCGATCATCCAGAGTATCAAGCCTAGTACTCATAACAGCAAAATTCGCTCTTTTTTGAAATTACTTCGACAATTTGACGTTATATGCGTGAATCAATTAAACGTCAAATTGTCGAAGCAATGTCAAAAAAGAGCGAATTTCGCGGTGTTGAGTACAAGGCTTTACTCTTTTTAATGCTAACTACCTTTTTTATCCCTTTCTATTCTACACTTCTAAAAACTCTAGAAAAAAGACAAAACATTAGCAGTTCAGGATAAATTCACAAACATGTGGCTAAACGCCTTCCACCTTCTACTCTCGAAGTTCTACTCCGATTTTGTTTGGTCTGGAAGGTGGCCACATTGCCTGTCATTGATCGGATAATCAGGATCCAGGGCTGGGATCACGACAAGTAGAATTCTACTAGAATTCTACTTTCGTGAAGTCAAGTTGCCTAGCAACCGGCATCATCGCCTGTACTGTAGGCGATAAATAGATCGCGGATGACGTCATGAAAGTGGAATTCTACTTGTCGTGATCCCAGCCCTGGGGCCTTATTCTGTAAGGAACAACCGTTCGATTCGGTAGAATTTCTTCGATTGTGACGTCATTTTCGGTTTAGTTTTCGCTCGTTTTCGCGCTACCAAACCTAAAATGACGTCACAATCGAAAAAATTCTACCGAATCGAACGCTTCGTTCCTTACAGAATAAGGCCCCTGGGCTGGGACACGGACTTAGGGATCACGACAAGTAGAATTATACTAGAATTCTACTTTCATGACGTCAAATTGTCTAGTAGCCGTCATGATGGCCTGTACTGTACGCAATAAATGGGTCGCGGGTGACGTCATGAAAGTAGAATTCTACTTGTGATCCCAGCCAGGAACGATTTTGCAGGTTGCACTTTGTGACTTTGGTGTTAGTTTTGGTACTATGTCTTTTTTTTTCTTTCTCCTCTCACCTTTGCCAAAATTTTAAATGTGTACAGCATTCATACAAGAAAAATATGGTCACCCTAATGCAGTACCTTCGTAAATGGCCATTTAACCCCAGTGTACAAGTATTTACCTGTATTCAGTGCAGCTATAATCAAAGTAGAAGTAACAATACGTAACCTGAAGGGCTTTAATATTATGTAACAATATAGGTAGTATAGATACCTAGA